AAGATGGACGGAATGCTCAAAGCTGCTGTTCTTTAAGAGCACGGCCTTCTTATCCTTTTCAGAATACATTTTTTAGATAGAAAAAGAGACAATGTCATGAGGAGAGGACAGTGACATTATAAAAAAAGATCTCTTCACACCTTGTCCTAACAGGACACAATTTAAGACATCAAAAAAACTCTGCCAGCAGCACATTTATGAACACGTTACATATGCATTTGATGACGAGGCGATCCATGAAGCACTAACAGATAGTCCATTGTCCTGATAAGATGATGGTCAGCCAGCACAGATCTGCTAAGCCTCCACAGAAGATGATGGGAGGGTTGGGGGGGGGGGGGGTTGCGATAAACAAAGCTTTTCCTTAGTTTACACATTTCCCAGGAGAAATTTATAAGTCGCTGTTTCGAGGCCAACCGGGGAGTCAGATTCAGATAATCCACAATTGTTGATTTATTCAGGCAGACTATTTTTTCTTGTCAGCCTTGAGTCTTTACTGGTAGTGCCAAGGTCCGAAATGGCCAGATTAGGGTGCATTTTACTGGTCCGTGTTTACGAGCCTCTTCAAGGTCGTTTCATGCTGACGAATCCCAAAGCCGCAGGTGGCTTGCGATTCAAATCACTTCCATCTTACGGTTTAGCTCGTAAATCAGCTAATTTTGAATCCTCCAAGCACGAACCAACCGTCACATAGGCAGTAGCCTGACGAGGGCCAAATTAGCTGCGACCGTCTTCTTTGTATGTTGATAAACCAGGAACCAGACAATTCCAAAAACAGAAAACATATTATCATAACTCCAATTATATGCAATTTCAGCATCCTCAATCAACAGCAGAGATAGACACATCACATCCAGAGATATATCCAGCTGCACGTGTCGTCCAAGCAGATGAGGGTTCTCCAGGACCCTGTCACTTTGTTGAAAAGATTTTGTCATTTGCGTCGAAAGTCCATTTGGTCAGATCCAAAACAGTAGTTTTCATTTCGGAAGATGTGTAAGAGCTGCTCTGATACACAGACAGAGAGCAAAAAAAAAAGCAGGAGGAGAACAGGGAGAGGGAAGAGAATGCCTGCACCTCATTACAAAGCCAGTGAGGAAAAATAATGCATAATGTTAAAATATTGGGCAATTCTCATTTTAACTTTACACGTTTGCACACTTAACACATGTTGGAAAAAACATAATGCACATTCTACTTCCCTAAATTTAATTAAGAACATTATTTATTAGATCTTACCTAAAAAAAATTTTTAAATCTGTTGCATTGTCATAAAACCACCATTATCTGTAATCATTTAACTGTTAGTTTCTCACAAACAACATTATTTTTCAACCTTTTTTTTTTTTTTGTGGAACACATTTTATGTCTGAAGAATGCTGTTTGTATTTTTTTTTAAAGGTGAGTGGCTGCATTAGTTCAAGTTCAAGAATCTTTTTTTTTTATCCCGGAGAAGCAATTTGTTTCACAGTCAGTAGGCACACAAAACATCCATACTAGACAAGAATCATCATTGTTGGTTGAGAAGCCTGATGGCTACAGGGATAAATGAGTTTTTCAGTCTGTTTGTCCTACATCTGGGCAGCAGATACCTGCATCCAGGTGGAAGCAACATGAACTCACCATGGAGTGGTGATCAGGATCTGCCAGAATCAGCCTGGCCTGGTTCACTGACCTTGCCTTGTGTAGGTCATTGAGGTTCTGTAGGGCTATGCCAGCAGTTTTGCTGCACATCCTGACAATTCCCAAGAGTTTGTTCCTGTTTTTGCATGTTGACAATCCAAACCAACAGATTCATATATTCATTCAACCATACAGGTTAGTCAACAGATTCATATATTCATTCAACCATACAGGTTAGTCTCGTTGAGCTTCGAGGACTCATTTACAAGAGAGACCCATTTTTAACAAAGAATGATGGCAACAGTAGACAATCATAAAAGAAGGCATATAAATAGAAGAAAGAAAGAAATGGAAGAAAATTATATTTAAAAAAACCCGAATACTAAAAAAAAATACTAAAAATAGGAAGATGTTTGCAATGGTTTGTGCCATGAACTTAGAGACTCAATAAAACATGAATAAAACATTCTCATAAAAATAGAATCAACATTAAAACCACAGAGCTTCCGATAAAAATACAGTCTCTGGTGGGCCTTCTTAAAAAGTGAGTTCACTGTGGGTCAAAGGTCAATTTGTCATTGAGAACAGTTCCCAGATATTTATATTGATGCACCACCTCAACAGCTTCACCGTTAATGACCACAGGAACTGCAACTGAAGATTTTTTTCTAAAATCAGGGACCATCTCCTTTGTCTTAGAAACATTTAACTTTAAAAAGAAGACTCACACCATCCACTGAAGTCCCCGACCACAGGCCCAGGGTCTGGGTCATCACTGCAGAGAAGGGACAAGATGACAGAGTCATTGGCAAACTTTAAAATGTGACGCTGTGGGAAATGGCTGCGACAATCATTTGTTAGGCACGGTAAATGTCTGTAAATTAATATTTCTCTAGATGTATTTCACTGACAACGGCTTAGTAGAGGCATAAACAGTATGACATCAACTTTTTCATATATTTTCCTCAGTGTTTGTCTTTGTGTATATTTAGTTTGTTGATATATATATAATCTTTCTTTTCAAACTCTGATTTGAGCTGAAAGTGGCTGTCAGACATGTTGAATTATATGTTTCAGCGTTTGCAATCAGTCTCTCATCCTCGCTGAGAAGTGTTAAAATGCTAGCCTTCTATCAAATAATTTTTCTTTCAGTATAGGAAGTGAGCCATTTACTTGATTTGTGACAGTGGTTGCCAGTTCAGTGTGCAACATGTCACTTTATCCAACAACTAAAGCCACGGAGGTATCTGCTCTGAATAAATTATCTTTAACTTGTACAGTTTTGTCAAATCGCTGAGAAAATAGAGTAGTTTGTATCTGCTCTTCTATTCTGTCTGGCTTACATAGTTGTTACTTTATGTTTCAGAGTGGAGAAACATGTTTTTTTGCTGCATTATGATTCCAGTTACAGTAAAAGACACTAATAACATAAAACTATCTTATTTGTACGTTGATCTATTCTTTAGCATTGAACCCATATGTTTTTTGTTTGTTTTTGTCACTTTGTTAAAATGAATGTGACTGTTTTCCATATGGTTGCATTTGTCGGGCCTAAAATTGATCTGTGAGCAAATAGTAAGTCGACCGGTGAAACCCATTGGGATGAAAACTGTTTCTTTGATGAGAAACCACACCCAGGTACAATGTCAGTCACAAACCGTCTTAAAATCTGCATTCAGGATAAAAACAAAAGGAAGATAGTAAGATTTTTTTATATCCAGTCACAATTTATTGAACATTACAAAACAAGCTACAGGATGAGAAACTGAAAATCTGTCCTTTTTAAACAATTTTCCATGCAGCGTTGCTGAGGAAGTTGATTTATGTTTCCAGCGGTTTCTGTATGAGAGACAGGGGACACCCTGGACGGGGCACTTGTCCATCACAGTGCAACATAACAACAAACAAGACAGACAACTAGTCATACTCTTATGACGGAGGATTAGGGCCACGCTAAGAAAAAAAAAAGAAAAAAACATGAGAAAAACGTAATAAAATTATGAGAATAAAGTTGTAATATTATGTGAATAAACTCATAATACATCCTGGGTCATCTCGCACCTGCTGTGGACAGCCTCCGATGCGAGTCACTGTGTTTATGAAGTAGTCCGCGATCACTTTCGGGTTACTGTGAAATGTGCCTCCATCCACATTATGTGATGAATAAATCTGTCAATGGCAATGCAGTACGGCTTCAGTTTATCATAAAAATCCATATGCAACAGTGCGTTGGGCCCCCTGATATTGTACTGCCAACATCAACATTCATCATTTTACCACAGTTGTAAGACTGCTTTTTCACGTCAGAGTTTTGATAATATTACGAGTTTATTCTGGTAATATTACGATTTTATTCTGGTAATATTATGAGTTTATTCTTGTATTGTTTCTAATTCATTCTCGTATTATTTTGACTTTATTCTCATAATATTACGACTTTATGTAAATATTATTATTAATAACATTGAATGATATTAATATTATTTAATAATATTAAATTATATTAATTATTATATTATTATTATATTATTTAATAATATTAAATAATATTAATTATTTAATTAATAATGACATTTATTATGACATTATTCATTCAGTCGAATGAATAATGTCATTCGACTTTATTCTCATTCGTAATGTAATTGTTTTTTTTTTCCTTAGCATGGCCCCAAAACTCCGTCGTATGCTCTCACTTACACCTAGGGACAATTTTGACTCATCGTTTAACCTAAACCCCCCCATGCAAAGGGAGAACATGCTAACTCGACACAGAACGACCCCAGCCAGGAGGCAAATCTGCAATCTTCGAGGAGTCCAGTGACAGAACTAACTACTGCCTTGCCGAGCCTTTGCCATACATACATTTGCCATATAGCTGTGAAGACAGAAAAAATTTACTGCTTATCTCATAAATGCTTTTGACAAATGCAATGATGTGGTTTGCTGCAGTCTGACCTTCCAGATTAAAAAAATAATGCTGTTTAACATTCTGGGCCACCATGTTGCTCACATTCATATTCCCTTTGATGAAATGTCAGTAGTGTTTCTTTCAGGCCATATGTCCCTGAGGGGAAAAGATGTTATTGTCCTGTTCATAGCACTATGAGCAGGGATGCAAAGAGCAGTGGGAGTACAAACTCATGGGCATCACCAAAGAAATGAATTGATTTTTCTTATTTTCTATTAACGCTAAGGAAGAGAGTTTCACATAAGTGCATAAAATAATTGTTTCAAAGTACATTAAAAAAATCTATTATTAGGATTGTTGATGTTGTAATTAATGCACTTTCGTTTTAAGATTTAGTCTGTATGAATTTTGCAGAGCACATAATTTTTAAACCTTTCTCAACAGTTTTTATTTGTATCCTTTTTTGCAGGTTTATGCAGATGACGTTTTGACAAAAGAGGAGCAAATAGGCCTTTTGTTCACGGCTAAACAAAAATGTGAGAGGAACATCAAGTCCAAGGCTAAAATTCCAGGTAAGGTACTTTATATCACTACAGCTATAATGCTAAAATTTTGTAGTTGTCTTCTTTTTCTTGGTTTTCAACTTCTTTAGTGACCCTTCTTTAGTGTGGAAAATGTCAAAGTGCCATTTATTGTCATTATACTGTTAAAAACAACACAACATAATTTTAAAATGCTACTTTCTTCAAATGCTCAAACTTAGTACATAAGTTTAAGAAGCCATTAAAACACCAATAAATAGCTAATCAATAAGATAAATATGATCATTTAAAGCCAGACAAATCAAATATACCACTAAGAACCCGTATTACATTCAGAAATAATTTCAAAAGTTTTGTATCTTCATTTGACCCACATAACCGTGCAAAGGCCTATTGTAATTGCATTGTTTACTATTATTTTCAAATAATCAAATTTTTGTAGACATTAACATGCACAAAATGTGTAGAAGTTTAAATACTTTTAAAGTAAGTGACAATTTTACATTACCGAGAACCTCAAAGGTAGCTGTGCAAAATGTCTCAATAGTGCCACCTATATTCTCAGCCTCAACAACTAGTTAAAACATACAATTTTGAAATCTGGTACATTATACATTCAGAATAAATACACATTTTGGATTTCAGGAAGTCTGCCGTTTTCAATCAAAGATGGCATTTAGGCATTTTACACACGTCATATTTAAACAAACTCTTAGAGATTTTGAAGTAGCAATTTCAACAACAGCCAACAAACTTTTAAGGCATGTTGGATTCAAAGGTAACCCAAGTTAGAGTTTTTGTCACAACCTGTGAGCATGGCTACACCTCAAACCTTAACTTCTCACCAAGAAACACATTCAACCTCCTACATAAAACATCCAGTCTGCAACAAAACGCATGCTTTGTCCACAGTCTGGTCCTCAACACATCTACATGTCAGTATATTGCTGGAACAGGAAGTTGCATGCTCTTCATGACAATCATTTTCTGACCTTTTCCATGTCGACACACTTTCAGGTAACACTTACTGTAACAACTTGCAGTCTACTTTACTAATGCAAGTTGGACAATTTAAATTTAAGTTCCATTTTGATGCAATTTTTCTGATCTATACGTTTGAATCAAACTCTTCGTAAAGATTTAGGAGATGTTTAAGTAGAGATGTTAATTGTCCTCTTCCATGATGCAATCTAAAGTGCTGCCAGCTCTGTTTATCCCTTCTTGAAGCTGTAATTGATCCTTTTTGCTGCAGTCACACATATGGAAAACATTTTTTTGTTGTTGTTGGTCAATTTAAAAAGGTGTCAAGGATTTTCCCAGTAGAAGAGATAAAGAGATCTTATTGTTCTGATCTTTTGGAACCATTAACCCATACTTATTGGTTCTAGGAGACTAACCAGAACCTTTATTTTCTAACAGATTGGTAACTGTGTGTTTCTTTCTAATGAGAGATTTATAATGCAAATTGTTTGACGTTACATCTTGGTCATTTCATAACCATGTCAAGCTGTGATGTTTTATCTTATATCTTTGTTGCACAGACTGGGTGTGTTCTAAAGAAGATTATCTGAAAATAAACTGAGCAGAGAAGCCGTTTATTTGTCATCATGGGCTGAGGCACAGAGGAAGTTCTTCAGTGAATTCTAGCTGGAGTTTCAGAGGAGAGTGAAGTAAATCCCCCCAGGGGGTTAACAGAACAGAGCCTGTTAGCTGCAGATTTTAAAGTCAGCGTGCAAGACAGGGGAAGGAATCAGACAGAGAAGTACCGAGGAACAGGAAAGTGAGGGAGAAGGAACTTTAGCTCTTACTTGTTAAATGTATCATATAAACTATATAATTAGTAGGTTCAGAATTATGATAAGTCTCCAAAGACCGTTTTGTTTTCTTGACTGAATGGGGTCAGCACCTTCTGTTTCTGCTGGTTTTAAGAGTTGACGATCTTATGATAGGCAGCTGTTATGCATCACACAGCATCTGTAACAATCTAGCTTTATAAAATAAAGAGTTTTACAATTTTTTAAACATTTGTAAATCGAAACGCACTTTTGAGTCGTTTTTTTGGGGGGGGGTTTGCTGTTCATTGTGGAAAGTAAAAAATTAAAGTACCATATTTTCCGCTGTAAAAGGCGCATCAGTGCACAAATGTCTAATAAAGTGGAGAAAAAAAACATAAATAAGTTGCTTCGTCGTATAAGTCGCATGAGTCACCCGGAAACGTGGGCCGGTGTTGTGCCAAAAATCAATTGGCTGCCAAAATGGCGGCAGTGGGAGCACACACGTGAGGACTTTAACAGTAATTTAACAAGATTATTAGTTAAAAACAATTGTTTGCTTGAAATTATAGCAAATGTGAGTCTCAGTTTAACTTTTCCTTAATAAATGCACTATGGTCAAATTAGCTGCGTTTCAAAAATCGATTTGCGGCTGCAGGAGTATGCAGAGGGAGGACTCGTTGTGCATTTCTTTGAAATTTAACAAGATAATAACCTACAAACAATTATTTGTTTGCTCGACATTATAGTAAAGGTGTGTCTCAGTTGAACTTTTACTTAATAAATGTACTTTAATGGTTTGCTCCAGGTGTACTGAAGTGAGACGAAGGTGGCTGGTATAGCAAGCCGATTGTCTCATTAATAGCCACTTTTACCTATTAATGAGACACTTGGCTTGCCATAAGGCTCGAGGGCCCTCTAGTGGCTGCACACGGTAATGTTCAATATTTTTCATTTCAGAATGAATTAAATTGTCAGATCTCAACCAAAAATTGGGATATAAATATGGGTGGAAAACTTATAGTCACTTCAGTGTAGAAGTGGCAGGACTTGCAAATTAATGCAAAAAGATGCATCTTATTTTCATTCTGCTGTTCAGTGTATTGTTCTTATGCTATTAGTGCTTAGCATGCTTTTAGTTAACGTTTATCCTTAGTTCATATCTTGGATCTTATCACTGTTTTTCTTTTTACATTTTATTGTTGGATGTAACTGGGACCCTGTGTACACAATTTATTTCCACCACATGTACCACATGTGGTGGAATGACAAATAGATACACTCTGATTCTGACTTATACGGCGAAAAATACAGTAGTTTGTTTCCATTGTCCTTTCAATGGCTTTTCTGGGGCTGAGACTGAAGGCGAAGCTGTGCCTCAAATGTGCTTTTGCACCGATTTTGTGAAAATTGCTGTCCAGAGGGAGTCGTTTTTCATCTGAGTCCATACAGTAATAATACAGTAATCACTGCGTCTGTGGTTGCTGTATTATACTCAGTTGATTGTTAAAGGGAGGATTTTAAATTCTTCGGCTAAGCCACTCAAAATATTTGTCTCTACGAACCCCAGTAACATTGTGGTCGCCCTAAATTTTTTGACCCTTCAGACGATACCCTTTGCAAATGAAACTGATAATTAAAACCATGCCAGGCTCAGAACACGAGCGCTATTGTTGACTATTCCCAGTAGTCACATTCCTTATGTGGTATTTCCCAACTTTTAGTGATTTTGATAAACATTCATAAATCTCAAACTAGATTGAAAAAAAAAATAAAAAAATAAATAAAAATGCGTACCACAGAGAACGTTGGGGGCTGAGAAGCATCCTGTGTTTTGACAGGGTATGTGTTACAACACTGGGCTTTTTTTTTTTTTTTTTTTTCGGTGTCAGAAGTCCAAAGATCTCCAAAATCTTGCTTCACATAAAAACAGCTTTTCTCATAAAAAAATAAATAAATAAAACAAAGTCAATATTCTGGTTTCCAGTGATGAAAGATGCCAAAATCCAATCAAAAGCTTCACAGCAAATTGGTTTAGAGTTGCTTAAGTTTTAACAGGAAAAGTTGCTCATAAAGAGATTTTACTGTAAATGTATTAGAGTTAGCCAAAATGCTGTTTTTCATCTGTTGTCCCTGGACACAAAATGTATTATTTTAGAATATTAAATAGAAATACATATTCATTTTAATGCCACTAACCTGCCAAAGGATTTGCTTTAATTTCTTTATTTAACAATCCAACTTTTTTTCATTCAGATATTTCTTCGTTCTTATTTGGCTGTTTGGAATGTCATCAAGAAACAAATGAGTGGAAATGTGGCTGTGTTGCACAGATGATTCAATCTGAAACTGGAGCAGGTTATGTGCTCAGAGCATGCCGTCATGGTGATGATGCTTGGAGTCAAGAGAGATGATTTTCTGACACTAAAAACTCTGACTTCATGTCCAACGAATGAGGGTAAGACGTTAATCTCTGTGTGCAGAACACCCCTCTAGTGGAGTGTGGAGCTGTACAGCTGCTATCAGTACACGTGTGCAGTGCTGGCTGTTGGGATAGAGCAGGGTTATTCACTAATGTTTATGCTTTTTAAAAAAAGAGCCCTAAAAAGCCTTTGAATGTAAATAATTAGCAAAGTGAACTACTTAACAATGTTTATAAAATGTAACAAATTCATAGAGGTCAAACATTCATCTTTGTTTTAATGGAAGGTTTGTTTAGCATTTCTGCCTCCACTAATGTTTCTGTGCAAGAAACTAGGTTAAAAACTGTATAAATACAAGGTATTTACATTTACATTAGACATTAAATAAACGGGTTTCAGCTTGTAATAGTCTGTTTGTAGGCTGGCTGCTGGATTTTGTAAAAGCGCTGAACATTTCACCCTTGTCTGGGTTCATATGCTCTAAGTGTGTCAAGTTCAGAGACGATTCTCAGTTTGTACCCGCCACAGTTCATCATCTTCCCATCATCAGTTTAACACATGAGTGACATAAGTGAAAAAAGAAACGCCAAGCGTGAGGAGTTAGAGCTGTGTGCGTTCATCGTTATATGACACAGGGCGGCTGTGGCTGAGTAGTTAGAGCAGTCGTACTCCAGTGTAAGAGTTGGGGGGTCGAATCCAGCAGCATTCACATACCAAAGTGTCCCTGGGCAAGACATTGACCCCCTCATTGCCTCTGATGTGTGTCCCATCGGTGTATGAATGAGATAAAGCTCTGATTAGTCTCTTTAGAATGATTTGTTCAATTAGCTTTGTAGAGTGCTGTATGAATAAGTAAATGAGGATTGTGTTGTAAAGCGCTTTGAGTATCTTGATAAGATAGAAAGGTGCTATACAAGTACAGTCCATACCAATACCATATTATTCGGACTATAAGGTGCACTTAAAATCCTTTAATTTTCTCAAAAATTGACAGTGAACCTTATAATCAGGTGCGCCTTATGTATTAGTTCTGGTTGTACTTACTGACCTCGAACGAATTTTATGTGGTTATTGTGAATGAAGTTTGACTTATCTGACTGTTTTGTTTCGCTTAATGCAATTTATAGTCCGGTGCGCCTTATGTATGAAAACAGACTCGTTCATTGATATTGCGCCTCATAATCCGGTGCATCTTATAGTCTGAAAAATACGGTACATCCTTTCCCTCACACTTCACTACAAGCAGCATCAGTTCAATCCGAGTTGTCAGTTGTATAATTTGTCTTTCTTCAAATCTCCATTATTTTATGTGTTCTTTGAAAGATTAACATAACTGTGCAAATGCTATCTCATATATCTAATTTAATTTGAATCTATAATGTGACATTGACGTTTGACAAATTCTGTCAAGGGTAAACCTGTGCATACCTCACATACGACTCTTCAGATCCCACAAAGTCTGCATGTGTGCAGCGTGACTTTACATTTGAGTGCTTCTCATAGGTAGAAATAGCTGCTGTTCTTGTTTTCATCTGGGCTCATCTAAGTCATACGTTTTGTCATTTTGGCAGCCATCATATTAGCCTTTAAACAATTGTTTCAGGTAAATAACAGATCTCTAGAAGTTTTCAATTATATGTAGATTTTTATGTCTATAATGCACAACAATTATTTAGATAATAATGATAATAAAATGATTATTTTATGAAAATTATTTTATTCAAAGACTGCGTAGAAGACTATAGGGGTATTATTATAATAATTTACAGTTAAATTAAAAATGAGTTTCTGCATTCAAATTGCAGTGCTGCATTTTATTTACTTGTTTTCCTGTTTGTAAATCAGAGGAGATCTAGACTCAGGACCTGGACTAATGCGTCCATCAGGAATATTTGACAGGGACCAATCCTCCAAATGCTTGAGGGGATGTTTTAGGGGTAAATCAGTGGATTAGTGACACCATGTTGAATGCTGCTGCCCTGTACTCACTGGACTAAACATGTCCCCTTAATAAAGAAAACTATCTCTCTAATGTGGTCATGCTATATGCTTTAATAAATATACTGTATACTCTGCCAATTCAAATGTCTAATTTTATTCTGATAAATTTTATTTATATGACATGAGTTGTTTTTATTTTGGTAAAAAACACATGTGGCGGCTTTGATTTTGTAAAATGACATTTCAGAAATTGTGGGCTCTGGTTTATTAAATCTGTATACCGGTTTTAGTAAAACCATATTTGATGCTTTACTGTATGTTTTCTATATAACAATTTGAAAAAGGTTTTCTTCTATAATTTACAGTACAGTAAAAGATTCTCCCACGTGGGTGGTTGCACTTCAAGCTCAGGTTTCGATGCCTGGAAGCGCTGCACAGTATCTTAGATGTGACTTTCTGGACAGAGATTTCCAAAGATTTTCTTGGGATCTACTGGATCCACTCTTCCAGATATGGGATCACAGCTCAGAGGGCTTTCATAACCACAAGTAGCACTGCGGCTTTAACTTTTAAAAATATCTTTATTTCCTTTAAATCCTTGGTCTTTCTCAGGGTTCCTAATATCACTGTTCCTACATCTATCATCATCTGGCATCTTTTTTCTTCCAGTTCCCAAGGTATGAGAGGAATAATAGTAAATATATATATATATATATATATATATATATATATATATATATATTATTTTGTATTCCTTGTTGAGCATCGGCTTGTTGTTTTTGTCAGGATATAGATCTTCCAGGATCTTTGGATCGTTGTCATTCGCCATAATCTTTTGCCGTCATTTTTCTTTGAAACATCCTGTTGTTGTGAGTTGAACTGGCTCAGCTGGATTTCTGCACAGCCTGGGATCTTTCCTGGTGTGGTAGCGCTCGAGTCAAACATCTTCTTGTGCTTCCATCATAGGTGAATATGTTCCATATATTCCATCATATGTTTGTGAGAACATGACAGAAGAATGATTTCATTCAATTTCTCAATTTACCAATGATGCATGCAGTTTGGAGTTTATCCTTCCTCTACTGTAAAGCAGAAGGCCTTTGCTGAGGTAATTTTCCCTGATGTGTTGTTTCATCCCAGAAAGTCATTCTGATGCTCACTATCAGCCTCCCTCGTTGTGCATGTATGTATCTGTGTTCACTCTGCAGTGGTGTGGCCTTGAAGCTTTGAGGGTGGGTTTCCAATAATAGAGGGGCCTTTTCTCATCTGCTGAGCTGCAGTAACTCTAAAACTGGGTGCATAGGTTAATAAAGAACTGAGTGACCCATGAGTCTAAAAACAGTTTCAACAGGTTTCAATTCTTCAGCGCTTTTAAAATGATCACTACATTGCTGAGACAATGTTTTCTTTGAGGTGGGACTGTTGACGTTTGCACGGAGTGGACAGTGGAGGGATGTGGGTTCACATCCCCAAACCTTGCAGTGTGAAAATAGCTCAGCCCTGAAGCTTGAGGTTTTGGGTGTAGAATAACATCAGGAGTCATTATAAAAGGTTGTTCGCATCAGGAGAAAATGCATTATGTGTTTTGACATCTGCAGGTCGGCATCAAAAAAGTTGTGGAAGAAAAGAAAATGTTCTAGAAACCCCAGTGACATCACTAATACCAAAGTCCTGCCATAGTCACGTTTATATTTAAATCGTGGTCAACAAATTTATGGGAAATTGCATGCTTGTGTGTGTTTAGTGTTTAATTTGGGCTTGTTAGTAGGTGGTCCTACAGTAAAACAACCAACGCAAAAGTAGAACAGGAATTTTACTTTTACTCCCAGGACGTGTGGTCTGTGTGATTTTTTGAGAACTTAACTGTGTTTATCAGAGATTTGTAAGAGTCAGTAAGCTCCACTCAGTCTGCCTTTTAATTTCACGCTGCCATGACAAGCAAATAAAAAGCAAGTCGATGTAGCACCGCATGCTTTTTTTTTTTTTTTCCCCTTTGGCAAAATAATAGATCGGCTGAATAGAGAAGATCATTTCAGTTTTATATACAAGTACTTATTAGTGGTTAAAGTGGGACAGATGTTTTCAATAATACAGCATAAAAGCCAAACCATAAGGAAAGGGTTTGCCAGAACTTTGTGGAGAAAAGAATTCTGCTTCCATTATCAGAGAGCTGCAATTGTTGAGTCTACAGACTAGCTGAACATTCTATATGTACAATTTTAAGATAATAGAAGATAAAATAAGAACGTTTCCATACCAGTACTTTAATTCATCAATATAAGCTTACCGTATTTTTTGGACTATAAGGCACACTTAAAACACTTTCATTTTCTAAAAAATTATGTAAATATGTATTAATTCCGGTTGTGATTACTGACCTCGAACTGATTTTATGTGGTACAATTGAACAATGTTGAGAGTTATTGCGAATGAGTTGAATAAAGTTTGATTCAAAACCAAAAAAGTCCATGCTCAATAATCCAGGTATACAATGCAACAATTTTCAGTCCTGAATAATAATTGTTGAATAAAGTTTGACTTATCTGACTGTTTTATTTCGCTTAATGCACCTTATAATCCAAAAAAATAAAGTACATAGATTACTATAATGCAGTCAGTGATGTAGAGAATCTTGCAAATGAGTTCCATTCAACATAAATCCTGCATGAAACTATCGTCTATAGAGCATTAATGGAAATGTGAAGCTGCTAACAATCAAGCCCTAACAGTCACAATAGACTCAGTTGACAAGTTGCAGCCAGCATACGCTGATTCTCTTTTTCCAAGTCTTGATTATGTTGCGACAGATAGATGTTGATGTATGGATGTGTTTTCTTCAGATAACTTAAAAAAAACATTATTTATTGCAAGTCTTACCACAAATTACAAGGCTGCTTCAGAGTGCTGATCTACATAAACACACAGGTTGTGCTGTCCTGATTTCTAAGGACAACAGAACCTTTAAAATGCACAGTACTGCTGTTTTTGTGAGGGTTTTTTTAGATGCTGAATGCAGAATTTATGGTTTAACAGCACTTTGTGGCCTCATTTTTTAAAAGTCAACTATGTTTTCTTGTCTCCGCAGATGGTTTCTGCTCACCAGAGTGGGATGGCATTGTTTGCTGGCCTGAAGGACCTCCTGGAAAACTTGTGTCCACATCTTGTCCAGACTACATCTACGACTTTAACCATAAAGGTAAGACCGTCTCTGGATTGAGCAATAACATTATGACGTTTTTTGTGTACCACATGATATTCATTCAAGAAGTCCTTTCGCAAGCAAAACTCCTTTTAAGAGCTAAGTTCAAATACACACATTTCAAATGTTTTACATGTTTATGTTTCATTAACATTTACTTCCTAATTTTGAGGAAAATCACCTAAAAGTTAAGGCATGATCATTTTTGGCTTTCACAAAAATGATCGGTCATAGTGAGATTCTGAAACCAAATGGTTATGATCCATAAGCTACAAATAGTCGTCTGGATTATGATTAGATAACACAAATATATTTACAGGTTAGCATTTATGCTGCCCATATTAAAGAAGAAATAGAATAGAATATATCCGTCTGACAATTGATTCACCTTGATTGCTGCATTTTCATGTGGATAAACAAACCTATTTTATGTTTCCTTATGCTACTAGCTAATTATGCAGTTTCAACTCTGTAATTAAAGCTTGATCCTATTATTTCTCTCGTTTCTTGGTATCTAGGGCTGGCATACCGTCGATGTGACAACAATGGAACGTGGGAGCTGGCCTCGGTCAACAAGACATGGGCCAATTATAACGAATGTGCAAAATTCCTTTACCATTACAACTATAGCCATGAAAAGGTGAAATCTTTCTCCTTACCATTTGCATGCTCATGGACACAGTAACACATGACATCTTCCTTATTCGTAGTTTCAGCCTGACTGAATGCCTGGCCAGACAAAGCTGCCATACTTAATATATTACAGCCGCTTAGTATTACACAACTATAGCCTGTAATTACAATTCCTTTTAAATGAGTAACTTGTTTGCAATATGCTCTTTCATTAATGAGCAATGCGTAAAAACTATTACAATTTTTAATAACATAGAGAGATAATGACAGTGTAGAGGTATGGTTACTTTGTGGTAATGTGCTTGTAATCATCAAATTTCAGTTTAAATCCAAACACAAAGCAACACCACAGAGCATCACAAAACAGACGCATCAATCAGGGCTAAACTTGTCACTTTGTTTGGTTCTTTTTTTTTCATATAAATAAAATCAGCATGTTTACTTAAAAAAAAAAAAAAACTGCTAAGAATTACAGTTTAGAACGTAACAATGGGGTCTTGAGCTAAGGCTCCCTTAAGAATTTTAGAGATTTGCTCCCTTTTAATCACAAGAGCATCACTATAGTTGAGGAAAAGATGATTGGAGATGAGACCTGGCTCTAGCTCTTCCCAGGTGTCCACAAAGTGTTTGATTGTGTTGAAGACAAGGCTGGGCTCAGACTTGTTAACGTCTGACACCTATTGCTTTATGGGCATAACTTTTGACCATCGGAACAACAGAAAGGATACACTTGTGTCACAAAATAAAATTCTGCATGTTTTAGCTTTTTTTTTTCCTACTAAATTAGCAAAAATCTGAGGTTAGAGACATAATTTTAACTATGGTTCATTTTTGCAATTTTCTACAAGTTAGAGAAAACATTAGTGAACATAATGAAGAAGCATGTCAGAAGTAGAAATCTGCTACAGCTTGTACTACAATAATTGATGTATATCTTCTTTTTTTTTTGCTAGTCTCCTTTTGACACATCATTATTTTCAGATTACCATTGCATGTATTTGCAATAGTTATCTCCTCAGGTGGAGGAGTTCAAGTATCTGTGTGTCTTGTTCATGAGTGATGGTAGGATGGAGCGAGAGATGGATCGACAGATTGGGGCCTCGTCCTCAGTAATGAAGATGTTGCTTTTGTCAGTCGTGGTGAAGAGGGAGCTGAGTGGAAAGGCAAAGTTCTTGATTTACTGGTCTGTCTCCATTCCAACCTCCACCTATGGTCCAGAGGTTTGGCTCATGAACAAAAGAACAAGATCATGGATACAAGCAGCTGAAATGGGCTTTCTTTATAGGGTGTCTGGGCACAGCCTTAGGGTGAGGAGCTCAGTTATTGGGAGGAGCTTGGAGTAGAGCTGCAGCTCCTCTGTATCAAAAGGAGTCAGTTGAGGTGGTTCAGGCATCTGATTAGGATGCCTCCTGGATGCCTCCCTTTACAGGTTTTCTGGGCATATCCCACTGGTAGGAGGTCCCAGGGAAGACCCAGAAATTGCTGGAGGAATTGTGTATCTTCTCTGGCATGGGAACACTACAGGCTCCCCAGAATGAGCTGGAAAGTGCCACTGGGGAGAGGAATATCGGGGTTTCTCTCCTGGACCTGTTGCCTCCACAACCCGACTGTTCAAGTTTAAGTTTAAGTAGGTTTATCGTCATTTCACCACATGTGGGGCATGAGGTGGGACGAAATTAAGTACACAGGGTCCCAGTCACATCCAACAATAGCAAAATGTAAAGTATAAAAAGAAACAGTATATAAGGATCTAAGATATACTATACACTAAACAAATGGTACGCTAAAAGATCTAAGATATACGCTAAACACTATTAATGCAAAACAATACATTGTAACAACAGCAGCCCAACTATAGATGGAGCGGTAGAAGATAGAGATGAAGACCACATTTATTTTAGCTGTTGTTGCTGTTTTCTGTCATTAAGAACCTGCCTGGCAGTTTCCAGAGAAAATGACAATGATATACTGTTTGTACTTTAACCACCCATTTCACTTTTTTCCCCCCAATTTCATCCTTGTTTGTTTGGAAACATTTATCCCCTCTTCTATATGCCTTGACTATTTATTAAGTCTGATGCATCCTGGGACTTAACTTTAAATTTTATGTTGTGGGTTTTTCTACATTTGTGTTGCTTTCATCGTTGCTTAACCGCATTTTTCATAAGTGCATCATGAATAGAACTGAACTGTAAACTATGGATTTAAGTGTTTCTAATTATTGTCACATGATTTAGGAAATGTAGCCATTTTTCCGGGTTGGAGTCATGGGTAATGTATTTTATAGTCAAGTCAGTTAGGAAATCCCAAATACCTGAAGTGCTACCATTTTATCACACCCTTCCCCCGTTTTGCCATAAAGCAATAAAATACAGCTTAACTCTTTATGACTTTAGATGTTTATGCTGATGTTTTCCCAAGGGAGCACTTCCAATAGTTAATGAATAAATACTGTAGGCACAGACTAAAGCACGCACAGCAAAACTGCTGTCACCGTAACTGAGTCACACGTTTTCCTGGCACAAGATCCTGATGCTGAATGATACCAGCAGTGCTGTATCTTGTTACATGACAAGGGGCTCTTTGGCCTCTTGACATGTTGACACAGAGAAGACTGTGGTTCTGTTTTTATGGTGTTGTCTCAGTGCCAGCCTGCTGCTGGACGATCAAACTGCCCCTTCAATCCTCCTCTCAGCCCTAAAACATTCAAATGTCTCATCTAAATTTTGTCGCCAAGTGGCTGAGGTTTATGAAATGAAAGGCTTTGACAAAGGACAACCTAAATATTTGAAAGTTTAAAACCCATTTCCTTTTTTTTTTTAATCTACGTATAGTTTTGAAGAGAACGTAAAAAGTACACAATCTGCACATTCAGTGAAACTGAAATAAAAAAATGGAGACCTCGTCTTGTAAAATTAGGGATTCCAATGTCTATTTAAGGTTTTACTGTATTTTCTTATGGGATCTGGTTGTTTTCTACCAGGCATTTGATGAGTCTTGTCACACCTTTTGACTTGAAACAAAAAAATTTATCTATACAACATGTAATACTTTAAAATAGACTTTTTATTGATACAACAAGGTGAATACAACATGCTGTTCTCTTGATAAAATAAAGGTACAGTTAACAGTTTACCTCAGATGGATTCTCTCTAACACCATCTCTTATTTTATATAATTTTGTCTTGTTGACATGCTAACAAATTATCCCTCTCCAACAGGAGGTCTTTCACCGTTTGTATCTCATCTACACAGTCGGGTACTCCATCTCTCTTGGATCTCTCATGGTGGCTGTTGTCATCCTGGGTTATTTTCGGTGAGTCTGTGATGTCGCGGATTCTTTTTCAATCAGTCTTTTTAACCTTGAACGTGGAGAGGCAAGAGAGAGATGGCGACACGGGGTCAGAAATTAAGGTCATAGCATTAGCAAAAAGGAAACAGTTAAATATTTATTAAAGGCACTTTGAAAAGAAAATACGCTGAAGGATACAGCATGTAAATGTCATAGGGATTTGTTTATAAGAAAAGCATGTTTTTTTGTAGAAGTCTATCACTCAGTGCATTACATTTGAAATCACAATGATAACATTAATTCAATTCCGTCCATCCATCCATTAACTTTTGCCCACTTCTTCCATTTTGGGTCATGGGGTTTGCCGGTGCCCATGTCCAGCCATCACTGTGCGGAGGGTGGGGTACACCCTGGACAGGTCTCCAGTCCGTCACAGGGCCACATAGAGACAAACAGCCATTCACTCTTTCACTCACGCCTAGGGACAATTTAGAGTTACCAATCAGCCTAACACGCATGTTTTTGGTCTGTGGGAGGAAACCGGAGTACCTGAACCCATGCATGCACAGAGAGAACATGCAAACTCCACCCAGAAAGGCCCCCGGACCGGGACTTGCAGCGGCAATCTTCTCGCTGAGAGGCAGCAGCTCTACGAGTTGCACCACCGTGCTGCCCATTAATTCTATTCAATTCAGTTTATTTATATAGCACCAAGACACAACAGAAGTCATCTCAGGGCACTGAACAGAAACATTCATATACATGAAAAGTAAGTTAATAATACTATTTATTTGAGGAGCAGACTGCTTTGAGTTTAACTTCATCACAGACTTTCATCTTGAGCAAGTATGAAGGCAACAGTGGAAGGGAAAAACTCCCTCATGAGGAAGAAACATTTAGCAAAACTAGGCTCAGGACAAGTGGCCATCTGCTTCGACCGGCTGGGTTTGAGAGAAACTGGAAGTTGGTTTCACACAAGAGGAGCCTAACTAAAAGATCTTCCTCCCATTCTGCTCTTGGAAACTCTAGGAACCACAAGTAAGCCTGCAGTCTGAGAACAAAGTGCTCTGTTGGGAAAATATAGAACAATAAGATCTGTAATATAAGATGGAGCTAGGTTATTGAGGGCTTTGTAGGTTAGAAGTAAGATTTTAAATTATATTCTGAATTTGACAGAGACCAATGGAGAGAAGGTTAAACTGGAGAAATATGATCTCTCCTACTAACTCCCATTAAGACTCTGGCAGCAGCCTTCTGGATTAACTGAAGAGTTTTAAAGAAGTTTATGGACACACAGACAACTGAATAAAACATATTTGATTATTAACAGACTGATCCTGAGAAGCATCTTGACAAACTACCAAATCTTTTGTTTTGATATTCTGTCTCTACAGGACAAAGATTTCAATTTGTTAGTTAGAAAAAGTAGAAAAGGTGTATTTTTTCTATCTTCCCACTGCTAGAACATTAAAGGAGATAAAATTTATTGATAAACATCTGGAAGAAATAGGAGTAACTGACTGTATTAGGAGTGTTTGTTTATAGATTAGCAGATTTACTTCTGATACTTTGTACATAAGCCTTACCTTGATTCTGTTAGCAAAACATAGAGAAGTCCTGTAGAGAAGGTTTGAATTTGAACCATTCTGATGAATGCAGAGCCGACCGGTCAGTATTTGCTCATTTTATGGTGCATAGAGAGTATCAGGAATCGATGTCAAGGCACTGTTTACCAACGTTCCCACCGACGTAACTTACTGTACAGGCAGTCAGTCATTTGGTTTCAGGAACGCTTCCAACTGGCACAGGGAAATATACGTGCCAAATGAGTTTAATAAGTTATCCCAGGGGCCCATCTGACATTCTGGCACCGAGCTCCGAAGTGCTCCAACCATGTCTCCCCTTCAACACATCAGCTTTCAGAAACGAAAGCTCATAAATGTTTTCCAGAGAGGGCAAAGGGATATTTTACATTAGCACTTGTGTTCTGGTATTTTCACCTGGGAAATGTGCGCTAGATTAGTTTCCCTGAATCAATAGTTCTCTGAGGGCACCTTGTCAACTCATTAATGAGATTTAGCGACAGAAATTGTGGATGGAGCTGATTGTGGGTACAGAGGTTTGTTTTCTGTAATCTGTAAGTGTTTGAAATTTCAACGTACTGAATTTTGGGCACTAATAACGAATCAGTAAATGTTTTCCTTGACTTTTTTTCTTCCTCTTCTGTCCGTTGACCCAGCAAATTATATCCAATGGATTGTGATGCCAAAGGTCAACCCACAGCAAATGTTTCAGATGTTTGACAGACCAAAATGTAAATGTTTTTGTAACTGCTGAAGACTTCATTTAACAGCTTTTTATTTTGAGCGTAGCGATCTGATATTAGCGTTTTCTCAAATTTGAGTAATGCATTACAGTCAGCTTAATCTAACTCTAATTGGGATGAGCGCAGTTTATGCGTGTGTGGTTTTGTGTTACTTTTTAACCCTGTATGTTATTTTCATGAACATTTGCAAACAATTTTAACATATTTTTAACAAATCAGTCTTTTGACCTGGTTGCTGTCGTCATTGTTCCTCCCCAGACGGTTGCACTGTACCAGAAACTACATCCATATGCACTTATTTGTGTCCTACATGCTACGAGCTGTAAGTATATTTGTGAAAGATGTCGTTCTCTACTCTGGATCTGCACTGGAGAACATGGAAAGAGTCACGGTGGAAGACCTCAAGTCCATCACGGAAGCTCCGCCAGCCAACAAAATGCAGTTTGTAAGTGAACATTTTTTTATATCGACTCAGTTTTAGGAGTTATCTCCTTTAATAAATACAACACACACACAAATTGCACAAAGTAATTTTCCTGTGTTGTCAACTTCTGACTGCTTTGAATGGACAGATAATTTGATTTACAGTTTACTTTAGCGTTTCACATTTTGCATCCAATGTGGAAATGGCACAAGTGTTGGGTCTTCCCTGCTTTTCCAGTACCAGAGCAAATAAACTGCCCCGCTTGTCACCCTGCCAAAGTTCTAGTTCAGTATTCAGCTTTCCTTCCCATACTTTAAAAAAAGGGGGAAATAACTGTTTACTTTTCATGGATGTTTTCAAACACAAACAGTTTCTTGCAATATATTTAAGGGACATACCTTATCCTGTGTCTTACCAAACGGACCAGTACTGAAACAGCTTTGTCAACACCGGTTACATATATTCAACACAGTGACAGAACTTAAATATTTGAGCTTTAGCTGAGTACATTCATTCAAAGCTTTATTTAAATTCCTCAGAATTACATTGTGACTTACTGTAATTAAACAGAAACAACCCCTTTTCCTAAAAAACGTTTCCCTTCAGGGACAAAAACTCAATAATAGCCATCTTTTGAAATCCACTTAATTCTTATTTTCAAATGAAAAAGCTCACCAAAGCTCTCATTAAAAATATGCTAAATCACCAAATCTTTGCTGTTGCCTATTGGGGCTTGAAAATTCACAAACGGCTGCAACTAAGAAGAAATGACACAAAGAGAACAGTCAACACAACTGCTGTCTTCAGTTGATTATTTCATATTAATGCAGCAGCAGTACCTGTAGTAATGTGGAGCAGGTGTTCCCAGCCTTGCTCCTTGAGGAACACCATCCTGCATGTTTTACTTGTTTCTCTGCTCCAACACATCTGATTTTAATAAATGGGTGCTTTACAGGCTTCTGCAGAACATGAGGAATAAATTAAATCACTGAATCTGGTGTGTTGGAGCAGAGAAACAACTAAAACATGCAGGATGGCGTTCCTCAAGGAGCAGGGTTGAGAACCACTGAAGTGGAGGTCCGTTTATCCATACATTACAATTCAATTCAGTTTACTCCAGCACTAATGCTAATAAAAACATTGACGTACATTTTAAAATGATAATTAGTAAAAGTTATTTATCTAAGGAAGCCAGCAGATTGCATTGAGTCTCCACTTTGTCGCATGCAGCCTTCCATCTTGAGCATTTCTTGTACATGCTGGATCCTGTGCAGAGTCACAGAGACCTGGTACACCCAGAACAGGGCGAGACGGAGGCAACTGACAACTTACATTCCCACTCTCACCTCAGACCAACTTAAAGTTGTCTGTTGGTCTGATGTGTATGTTTTTGGAGTTTGGGGGAAAACCGGAGTACCCAAATCAAACCCACAGATTATACTGGTAATCCTTGCACAGAAAGGTATCAGCTGGGAGTCAAACCCAGGATCTTCTTGTTGCCAGTCAACAGTGCAAACCAGCTGCACCACAGTGCAGCATAGTGTTGACTAATGATCACAAATGAAACCAAACTGACAGACAACTAAACCAGTGTTGGCTTTTGGGGCTGTTATTATACCAATATGTTATTTATTTATTTATTAACCTTTATTAGAAAAATCCCACTGAGATCACAGATCTCTTTTGCAAGGGCGGCCTGGGACTGAAGGCAGCTAAACATGTACTTGTATGTTTTTGGACTGAGGAAACCGGAGTACCCGGAAAAAACTCACGCAAGCACGAGAAGAAGATGCAAACTCCACACAGAAAGACCTCAGGTCCAACTGGGGATTGAACCCAGGACCTTCTTGCTGTGAGGCAACAGTGCCAACCACTGAGCTGTCGTGCTGCCTGTAACTGCATTATTGATAAACCAAAACATTTTGTAATGAAATAACATCAACTATTTTTTTCTTGATGTGTTTACTTTAATTAGTCACCATTTATGCTGTCCTACCTGCAATCTAAAATCAAATTTAAATACACAGCAGGTAGAGAGAGGGAATGTCTCCTTTTTGTGACATGTACTCATATCTAATGTTTAAAAAGTTTTATGTGGTTTGTTACCACAGTTAGAATAGTCACTCATTACTATAAATGTAAGGAAAAAAGTGACTGTTGGCTGATTATCAAACAATAATTACATATTTTCTTAAAGACTATGAGGCATGTCCATTCTCTATATGCCTTACATTCATGGCTAAAGATAAATCTGCACTAAATATATACTTTAAACAAAAAATAATTATTATGTGTTTGAAAATAACACCAGTATCTCTTGGAATTGCACTTCCATCCATCCATACATTCATACATACCTGCATACATCTTCTACCGCTTATCTGTAGTCAGGTCACGAAGGCAACAGGTCCAGGAGAGAAACCCAGACATCCCTTTCCCCAGCAACACTTTCCAGCTCGTTCTGGGGAACCTCCAATTATTCCCATGCCAGAAAAAATACACAATCCCACCAGCAATTTATGTTTTTTTTCCCGGGGCCTCCTATTGGTGAAATTGGCAGAAAACCTCCAAAGAGAGGCGTCCAGGCGCATCCTGATTAGATGCCCAAACCACCCCAACATACTCCTTTCGATGCGGAGGAGCAGCGGCTCTACTCTGAGCTCCCTCCGAATGATGGCGCTCCTCACCTTATTTCTAAGGCTGAGCTCGGCCTCCCTATGACGGAAGCTCATTTCGGCCGCTTGTAGTCGGGATCTCATTCTTTCGGTCATGATCCAAATCACCAACAAAAGCCATCCATCAAACTTAACACATATGCAGAATATTAAATAAGCTCTCACAGAAGTTCTCCCAAATGCTTAAAGATTTTGAAAGCAATAAATATGTTTCAAGCGTTATTTGCAGCTTTTTTGTCTTAACTATAATCTTTTCTGAGCCATTTTTAAAGCCACAGTGTAACACAAACACTCTCATGGAGATGCTTCTGTCATTAAGCACTAAGTAAATTCTGTTTAAAAATAATCCCTAATTAGGGATCACAACGATGACTAATTTTAGGTCACTTGAAGCTGCGCAAGATGGGAGATTAAAGATATTAAAAAAAATCAGTGAGCGTCAGAATAAAAACTATCATTAAATTTTTATTGACTATACTTTGAGCAAGCTACAAACAGTACAGTTCAAAGCTGCTTATACCAAGATATACCATGATATTCTATTGAAAAACAGCTTAATGAACTCAAATGTTAACTACAAGAGCAGATATTTTTAGTCTGGACCAATTTAGATCTCTGATGAGTGTTGTTAGTATACAGGAAATGCTCTCACTGTGAAAATGAATGTAGAACATTTATGATGCAAACACACCAAAATAATTTAAAAAAGCAACAAATACGCATAGAAAATCAAAATACATGTGAAATAAGCAGAATATAAAATTAATAGTAAGAAGAAAATAGAGCTGCTGTACAAAAAAATACATGTAGAATTTTTTCAATAGTGGTAAAGTAGACAGGAAAGCTGAAAAAAATAATAGAAGAGAAAAAAATAAGGAATTTATCCAATTTTTTGATTAGCCACATGCAGTAAATTTAATTCAGTTTAATAGTGCAAAGAAATCTGAGAACAGTGAAGTGGTCCGTTTCACAGACTTTTGTTAGAACGGTGCCAATTTTATTCCAATTTAACTGAAACGGTCCGACTCACTGCATTTCATTTCAAATCACAAAGTGTGTTCACTTACTTTTATTGCAAGATTGCTGTTGAGATTATTGCACACACTCCACTCCACTTTCCTTCCGTGGAAATACGGGCGACGAGAAATAAATAGATGGATGAATGGAGGATGCTCCACTTACAAACACTGTTCAACTGCAACTCTTTCATGATGCTAGACTGAACTGTAAATATTTGGGAGGTTTTGGGCAAGTTTTTGCATTTAAATCACAGTTTTGCTTTGATCTTTTGGACAGTATTCCTAAGAGATCCAGGCCTTTTCAGAATTATTCAAGATAATGAAAAATTAATTAAAACTGACTAATGTTTCATCAAGATTATTGATTAACTGGTTCCTGTGGTCTGCTGTGTTTTCTATAGATTAGCTGCAAGGTGGTCGTGACCTTGTTCATGTATTTCCTGGCAACCAATTACTACTGGATCCTCGTGGAGGGTCTTTACCTCCACAGCCTCATCTTCATGACTTTTTTCTCTGACAAAAAGTATCTTTGGGGATTTACTCTAATTGGATGGGGTGAGTTATGCTTCATTTACTTTGCACTTGATCTTACTGTAGCATCATCAGTTGACCTAAACCATTTTAAATGAACGAGTACGTAAGGTCCTTCCTTTTTTTTTTTATATGACACTGAGAATGTCTTAAAAATAAGTTAGAACAGTGGGTAATGATGCTGCTTGAATAAGGGTTTTACAGTTCCTGCATTGTACACACTGTGCGTATAACTTACATAAGCACAGCGCATACAATGTGGATGCTGTCCTGCCCAAGTTCCACTCAGATGGGAAACATTTCAAAATCTGACTTATTCGCACCAAATTATAGCTGCTTTATCATAGCAATTCAAATATTTTGTATTTATTTTGTAGGAGTACCGGCTGTGTTTGTAACCATCTGGGCAATCGTAAGAGCCATGCTTGCCGACACAGAGTAAGTGATGTGTATGATTTATATTTAACTTTTCCTGTCAAACCTTTACACCGAATTACTAAAGCTTAATGACTTCAAATTAAAGGTCTTAATGTCTGTTTATTATCAGCACAATTGTTTGGTGCAGGGCTTGAACCCTTTGTTTGTTTCTTCTTCCTGTTCCTCTCAAACCCAGCCGGCAGAAGCAAATGACCGCTCGTCCTGAGCCTGGTTCTGCTGGAGGTTTCTTCCTGTTAAAAGGGAGTTTTTCCTTTCCACTGTTACCTTTGTGCTTGCTCAGGAGGAGAGACTGTGAAGATTCAACGCAATCTGCTGTCACCAAATGTCAATTGAAGGCCTGCAGGCCACATTCAGCCAACAAAATTGTATTTTTGGCCTACAGTATATTAAATGTCAATAAAAAGTGCAAAAACATCCTTCTGGTATAGCACATGATCAAACCCAACTCAGATGCTCAAATACAACAACCAGAAAATACTACTGAATGCCTTAAAGCATGTGTCTAGAAAGTATTTAAAGAAACAGGCACCTGGAATAGCGCTCTCCACTCATGCAATTTTTAGAAAACTAGTCAGGTGACTATGATTACGCAATGTCTGTTTGAGTGCAGGAGTTTGCATGTTCTCTCCGTGCATGCGTGGGTTTTCTCCAGGTGCTCCGGTTTCCTCCTACAGTCCAAAAACATGCATGTTAGGCTGATTGGTAACTCTAAATTGTCCCTAGGTGTGAGTGAGAGAGTGAATGGTTGTTTGTCTCGTTTGTCTCTATGTGTCCCTGTGATGGACTTGCGACCCGTCCAGGGTGTACCCCGCCCCTCGCACAGTGATTGCTGGACATGGGCACCAGCGACCCCCGTGACCCAAAATGGAATAAGCGGGTAAAGATAATGGATGGATGGATGGATGTTTGAGTGCAAATACTCATAGAAGCCCATAAACGTTTCAATGGCAGCGCAGTTTTTAGCCAAGTTTAGGCTTAAAGAAAGTTGATAACATTTAATTGAATTACACCAGGAGAACCACACATTGTGCATATAGTATCTGTAATGGTGACTCAAGGTACAGCCATCTTCCTCACATAGAAGGGGTATTTTTCGTCACTTTTCCCAAGTTTAAGACACAGAGAAGTTTGATCACTGGATTATAGCAATGGGATGAGCTGGATTTTGTCATTCACAGACATGAGTCGGTCACACATACAGCGATAATGATACTACACATTTTAGATATCCTGGTCTAAGTTTCTTAAAATGACACAAAAATAGTTGCTGGAGCAATAAACGTATAAAACATTACCCACACATGCACATACACTACAAGCGAGAAGATCACAGTAACAAAAATCCCCATTTTTTTAATCAATTCCACCAACTTTCCAGTCTGCTGAAGACAACACTCCAGTCAACATTTCAATTGAACACTTGTGTATTTACTGAAGTCAGACATATCCAACTTCACGCCAAGAACAACCTTTTCTGTTAAAGCTATTTGACTGAATCTGTGTGTTGAAGCCATGACACTGTACTAACAACTGTGTGAGGGGCAGTGGATTACCTACGCACATTATCTGTGTGATGAGTGGAGATTCCCATTAAACTGTTAACTTACTTAAGGCGCAGCCTATAAACAAGCTAGAACAAAACTAAATTGATGTTTCTTCATTCTTTTTGTGGCAACAAACTCTTTTTCTACCTCCTGTTGCATGGATCACCCTATAGTAATTTGCAGAACAGAACTGAAAACTTTTGGAAAATGTCAAGAAATAAAAGAGGGTAGGTCATCCGCCTCTGAGTAGTCAAACTGTATGGGAAAAACATAGTCTCAGTCAGTAGGAGAGCCAAAAGGTCATTTTTACGTCTTTTCAAGCTGAAACCCACTCAGTCGTGACAGTTACTGCAGATCCGCTCCTTTATTAGTCATCACTTAAACAGAGTAAAAACATAATGGTAGAACTACCAATATCTTTGGTTTGCTGATATTTGAATTGTTCTTAATAATGAATGAAATAACATGTAACAGCTGAGTCTGGATAAACTACATGTATTTCAATCCCAAATTTATAGAAATTATTTATTGTTATTTTAATGCCCAATGTATGCAAAGTACGGTAATTATGACAGATAGATGTAGAACAGGCAGGAGGATGTAGGAGCAAATTAATTTAAAAGCAACTAAAGCTAGTTAGTATTTTACTGAGTATTTTGAGATAAAATATTCCTCCTTATATGATAATTATGCAGTGGAGAGTTAGCTTTAAAAGCAGATTAAATAAACAACTTTTTATCTATTCTCTAATCCTCATGGTGAAATGATGTCACAGACCAATAAAGACAACAGAGTGAAATGAGGAAATTCAAGAACATCAGAATCTTAACCTTTCCTTATCTCTCACAACTTGTTTCTGCAGGTGTTGGGACTTAAGTGCAGGCAATTTGAAATGGATATATCAAGTGCCAATCCTGGTGGCTGTGGTGGTGAGTACCAACCTACAGCTCGCACTTTACCCCTGCTGTGCACGAGGAAAGTTAGTGATTCACTTTGCAGCTGATGGTTGTACGAACCTGTGACTGCGATCACACTTAATCACGTAATTATCTTTCCATTATTTTTTTTTTCCAGATTAATTTTTTATTATTTCTGAACATCATCAGAGTCCTGGCAACTAAACTACGAGAAACAAATGCTGGAAGGTGTGACACCAGACAACAGTACAGGTACTCGAACATCCTGTGGGGAAAAAAATGATTCATTTTGAGATACTAGTGGAGCGGATCCACCTGCGTATTTGCTTATTATTTAATCATTTGCAGATTACAAATCTTGATTAGAGATCACATCTGCTTCATAAAGACAAGATAGAGATACAAATGCACAAAGCCAACATAACAAACAGAAACGGTTCTTCAAATTAAAAATCAGCCTGTGGATAAGATAAGATAAGATAAGATAAGATAAGATAAGATAAGATAAGATAGAACTTTATTGATCCCGCAGGAAACTGTTGAGTGTTTCAGTACAAAGGAATAGGGATGCACAATATTATCGGCATGGTATCGGCCGGTATTAGTGATAAAGTTAAATATTGGTAATTCCATCAAAATAACTCACTGATATAAAAGGCTTCTGTTTTAAGTTATGTTTTAATTTAAGAAATTGTCAAGTATATCTAATCATGCACTACTACTTATGCACTTTTCAATTGTCGCTTGTGAAGAGGTTGAGTTTAGATTTGTGAACATTTACAAATTTGAGCTGTTCAAGTGTTGTCATTGTGTTAGAGAGAGTAACTGTCATGAATAAATTTGAAATTAAACATAATCCAAGTTGAAGTGTTGCATCATTTTCAGCCCCATTTTTGGCATCTGCATTTGGTAGCAGACCAAATGACAAAGACCTTGCAGAATAACGTAGTATTTTAATTCCACAGCAAAAAAAAAAACTACAGGTCCTTCTCAAAAAATTAGCATATTGTGATAAAGGTCATTATTTTCCATAATGTAATGATAAAAATGAAACTTTCATATATTTTAGATTCATTGCACACCAACTGAAATATTTCAGGTCTTTAATTGTTTTAATACTGATGATTATGAAAACCCAAAATGCCTGTTCCAAAAAATTAGCATATTTCATCCCACCAATGAAAGACGAGTGTTTTTAATACAAAAAACGCCAACCTTCAAATAATCATGTTCTGTTATGCACTCAATACTTGGTCGGGAATCCTTTTGTATGAATGACTGCTTCAATGCGGCGTGGCATGGAGGCAATCAGCCTGTGGCACTGCTGAGGTGTTATGGAGGGCCAGGATGCTTCGATAGCGGCCTTAAGCTCATCCAGAGTGTTGGGTCTTGCGTCTCTCAACTTTCTCTTCACAATATCCCACAGGTTCTCTATGGGGTTCAGGTCAGGAGAGTTGGCAGGCCAATTGAGCACAGTAATACCATGGTCAGTAAACCATTTACCAGTGGTTTTGGCACTGTGAGCAGGTGCCAGGTCGTGCTGAAAAATAAAATCTTCATCTCCATAAAGCTTTTCAGCAGATGGAAGCATGAAGTGCTCCAAAATCTCCTGATAGCTAGCTGTATTGACCCTGCCCTTGATAAAACACAGTGGACCAACACCAGCAGCTGACATGGCACCCCAGACCATCACTGACTGTGGGTGCTTCACACTGGACTTCTGGCATTTTGGCATTTCCTTCTCCCCAGTCTTCCTCCAGACTCTGGCACCTTGATTTCCGAATGACATGCAAAATTTGCTTTCATCCGAAAAAAGTACTTTGGACCACTGAGCAACAGTCCAGTGCTGCTTCTCTGTAGTCCAGGTCAGGCGCTTCTGCCGCTGTTTCTGGTTCAATAGTGGCTTGACCTGGGGAATGCGGCACCTGTAGCCCATTTCCTGCACACGCCTGTGCACGGTGGCTCTGGATGTTTCTACAGCTGATCTTCTTCCTGTAGTCCAACTGCATCTCTTTGGTTTTTCCATCGTGGCGTTGCAGTTGGTTCTGTCCACCACACCTCTGTCTTCTGCTTCCTGGTCACCAGTGATGCAGCCCACAATGGCAGAGTCATCCGATAACTTCTGCAGATGACAGGATTGTGACTTGTACCTGAAATCCAAGGCTTAGAGGGTGAACAAAAACGGCGAGAGGACCGTCCCCTGATGAAACTATTTCTAATTCTATTACCACATGAGTGAGACTAGTGTATTAACCACCTCAGCTGTTAAAATTTTCAGCAACTATTAGTACTGCTGGTCTTCTCAAGTGGTTTGATTCATGGGACTTTTTAGTCTTTGTAATCAGCTGTAAAAAAATACATCCCACAACAAAGAGAGGAATGAAGTCAGCTACAATTAAAAGCCAGCCCAAAATGCAGACAAAATAAAAAGATTTGTGCACTTAAATTCTCTTGACCAAAGTGCATTCAAGACATTTCATTAGAACTACAGGAAATTGTGTCATAATGTAATAAAGAGTGTGAAAGGGGCGTAACGAGGCTTTAAAAATATTTTAGGCTTTGACTTTATTTAGGAATTTGAATTTATAAGGATATTCAACATCGGTATTTTGTCACTCGGTAATAAAAAAGTGGGCCAATAACAATTAAAATGTAACATAAAGTGTAAATGAAACTGTTTTAAGCCTTCTATCTTCTCATTGTGCTTTTCTCGAAAAGAAAAATGTCCTGTTCATTTTTTTTTCTTTCATGTAAAGCATTTTAATCATTTGCTTGAAAGTGTCAAATGTTCTGTTACAGAAAACTGTTGAAGTCCACGCTGGTGCTGATGCCTCTGTTTGGTGTCCACTACATCATATTTAATGCCATGCCGTATACAGAGGTGTCTGGGATACCTTGGTTGATACAGATGCACTACGAGATGCTTTTCAACTCTTTCCAGGTAAAGCTGTGGATGAAGAAATTCTGAACATGAAAGATTTTTACGTCTATGTCTTTGCTCCAAGAAATTTGACTGACCCGAATGGATTTGCCCTCTGGGTTAATATTAACATCGAAGCAGAATGTCAAACAGCTGTTCATTGTTTAGCTGCTGATTTTGTACAATTCTAATTTGCATTAAGAAATTGCCAACGGTAGCTGAAATGTCATTTGTAAGTCTGTGCTTAAAGTATCCGGTTCATGAAAAATGTGAGTAATATCATTATTTGCTCTTTTCCAGGGTTTTTTAGTTGCAATTATATACTGCTTTTGCAATGGAGAGGTAAGAACTCGTTTTTTTACCCTTATAACTACAATATTTTTTGTGCTTTAAGTTTCTACTAACCTTTTTTCCTTTCAGGTGCAAGCTGAGATCAAAAAGTCTTGGAGCAGAAGAACTCTGGCCCTTGACTTTAAAAGAAAAGCTCGAAGTGGCAGTAATACTTACAGCTATGGACCAATGGTATCACACACCAGTGTTACCAACGTCACAGCCAGAGGACCGCTGGCCCTTCACCTCAGCACGAGACTGGGACCGGCGCCTGTAAATGGCCACAGGAACCTGCCTGGATACGTAAAGAATGGCTCCGTCTCAGAGAACTCCATACCTTCATCGGGACAGGAGCTCCACATTCCTGAAGAGGAGCACTCAGCTCATACGCGACCCAGCGAGGAAGAAAAACCCCCGCCTGTCGTGGAGGAGGAACGAGAAACGGTCATGTGACCTCAAGAGAAAAGTCACAAAAGGTAGCAAAGCAACTGAACACTCAGGATGGTGTGAAGGGGGATGACATCAACACTGCCATGTTTTTTTTTTTTTTCTCCCTCCTGTGAATTGAGCCAGAACATTGTCAACAGATGAGGCTCAAGGCCAAAAAGGGTACGTTACCCCGAGGGATGAGGACTTCCAAACAGTGTTGGCGAACACTCTGCTCTTTCATCAACCACCTGTCACGGACAACGTGTGCAAAGCTTCCTTGCGTTGTTTCCTCTGCCATGACTGTTATTGTCTGGTTTGCTTGGATCATCCTTTGTGCATACATTACACAGGAGGTGAGTGTGGATAGTAGATGCCAAGATAAGCCGCAGTCACATTAAAGTCAGGAAGGCCCTGAGTGCACTTTGGGGCACAGGCATGGATAATCAGCAGAATTTGAATCAGGATTAGGCCTGATTTAAAAAAACAAAACAACTCATTCTTATTCTTCTCAGCCATTCTTTCATGTTTGTAGCATGATATCTCATTTGTTTCATGTTGACTTAGATTTACTTCAATGTAAAAGGGAAGTTACTCAGGTAATTGAAGTCCTTTGTTGTTGCACACCTGTTTTTATATGTTATACATGGTGTTTTTGCATATTCTGTATTTTGCCCCAGAGGATGCTGGTATGTTAACTAAGACTGTACTAACTTGTTTTAAAGATTTCGGGTGCAGCTTTTGCTGTTATGAACAAATTAGCACCCTTCCCTCTAATCATAATGGATATTGGAAGGTTAAAATTAATGTATCCATTTCAAAATTCACTTAAAGTACAGCACACCGACATGAGAAATATGTTTTGAGTGTTATTAGAGATAAAAGTTATAAAAAGTATAACTTGTTCTCACAAGGTTTTAACAGATTAAACCCCGTTTAGGATCACAAATTGATTTATTTTATACTCCAGCTGGATATTAATTAATGAAAAATCCAAGAAAGTTTCAATACCGTGGATTTCAAAGAGCGACATTTGTGGTGATATGAAAATAAATTAGTTTTTACAGAGGGTCCAACGATGAGTTGGTTGTTGCTGTTTGTATTCAAGTTGCTACGTTTACAGATCAGAAATACATTCTAATTATGGCTAATGTGTTTGTTATGAAGGCCTTACAGTTTTGCTCACGTTTGCTTAAATACTTTTGGTACGATCTAATCGTATAGTTCAAACAGAACTGCTGAATAAGTTTGCAGATGGCAGAGGGCATTCATGATTGCTAAAGCAACCCTCATTAGATGTTTTAACTACTGTAACTTGTAAATGACTGCAGTTTACCTGCATGATGAGAAACACAGAAATCACAGAACCAGTTATGCCAAAGATAAATGGTGTGCTATGCCTCCATAGAGTAGATTTTGATGCAAAATACTGTAAATTTACATACAAAGTACACCCCACCATCAGCTTACAATTCATTATTCCCAGTGTTCATAGATTTTATTGTATGGGGTGCCATTTATAAAGTTACACAATCAAAAATTAACAGCAATATTTTGGTTTATTTAGCCTTTCATAAGAAAAATAAAGTTTTTTGTCCAAAGTCATATTTTCACCATGTTATTTATACATAAATGTCATAGTTTCAAACTACATATTTAATTTACAAGCTAAATATTTAGTTTACAAACTACATATTTTACTTTAAAGTTAAATATTTAATTAGTAAACTAAATATTCAGATGTACATTAAATATTTAATTTCCAAACTAAATATTTATTGTCAAAACTAAACATTTAATTTCTAAACTAAATTTTTATTGTCCAAGCTAACTATTTAATTTCCAAACTAAACATTTAATTTCTAAACTAAACATTTAATTTACAAGATAAATATTTAATTTGCTATCTAAATATTTAGTTAGCAAGCTAAATATTTAGCTAGCATTAAATATTTAGGTCCAAGCTAAATATTTAGTTAGCAAATTAAATATTTATTTTGGAAATTAAATGTTTAGTTTAGAAAATAAATATTTAGGTTTGAGCTAAGATAGCAAATTAAAAATGTAGTTTTGTGAATTAAATGTTTGGCTTAGAAATTAAATATTTAGCTTGTAAAATAAATATTTAGTTTGGAACTATGACATTTATATGAATGATATGGTGAAAATATGACTGAACAAAAAAAACTATTTTTGTCTTATGAAAGGCTAAATATACACAAATGTTGCTGTTTTTGGCTGTGTAACCTTACAAACGGCACCCCGTATATACTTAAGGTTTAGAAAGTCCTTTTCAATTTTGAGTTTAAAAAGTATTTGAAAGATGTTTAAAGGGCAAACAAACAGCAAATAGCAAAGTAAAGGCTAAAGAGAGTTGCATTTTTACCCTCCAGATGCCACTGATTTGCTGTATTTCTCATCAATGCATCAATTTCTTCTTTTTTTTTTCAAAACAGACAAAGCTGTTTTCTTTATTTATTCATTTTTGACCAATCAGCTGACTAATAAGTATTTAGGTAGCAAAATTCTGAAGAGACTGTGGTCAAAATTAATCTTTCAAAACAAATAACACGTAATGCCAAAAGAATTATGGATTCTCTGTTAAGTACGAGACACTGAATTGTGAGAACCCTCAAAAAGATGCTCCAATAAAACTATAAATGAGAATAAAAGAGCAATTTAAACTCTGCAACATTTCATTTTATACTAGAGAAATCATGCCAGCATTGTTAGAGTATATCGATTAGTTACAAATGAAAAATAAAAGTTTTCTCTTTTAGCTAAATAGGCTAAGATTTGTGGTGATATTCATCTGATTTTCTTTACACGCTTTCCCTTTCTGTGACGAAGGGATATCTTGATGTGAAGCAACAACTGTAGCTTTTATGCCACAGTGCAGTTGTGGTAACATTCCTATTTTCTATTTCTGTATTTTACAGACTATTCGGTGCACTTAAAGTCCTTTAGTTTCTCTTAAATCGACAGTGAGCCTTATAATCCGGTGCACCTTATGTATCATTATTTCTGGTTGTGCTTACTGACCTGGAACTAATTTTAAGTGGTGCACGGCGCTCCAAAATCTGTCAAAATGAACTTGTTTCACTTAATGCACCTTTTAGTCCAAAGTCATACGGTACTGATACAGTTAAAAGACTGAAACAAACCAAAATTTGGCTGTTAAGTAATTTTATTTAGTCTTTTATACAAAATATATTGTTAAAAATCTTTTTAAAAAAACATTTTAACAGTAAGTCTTGTTAACTCTGATTATGATTCCGGTCAACAAACAGCAAAAGTATATTTAGCACATCAAATCAAAAATAAATAATGGAAAAAAAACAATTTGTTACCTCCAGTTTTGGTCATTTTGCAAATGAAAGAACACTGTATCCTGCTATTTTTGTACATTTTGCATTGATTAATTAAAAAAGTTGTTTAATGTATTTCTTTGATTTACACGCGTCCAGTACTTTGAAACTGGGAGAAGCTTCAAGTACTGAAAAACATAGACAAACATGTACATTTACATTTTTGGCAAAATTACAGACAATAACATAAACCTTGGAGCATTTTTTTTTTAATGAGCCTCACATTTTTAAATTAAAAAACACCCGTCTATCAACTTCAACATTTGTGTCATGACTGCAAACGAAGGACGAGTGGATTGACTGCATCTGTAATTACCGACTTTATGTCACAATGAGGAAAATTTGGAAAAGTCTGAGGTCGAACGATGTCTGTGTTGATAGGTGACACAATATTTCACCTTTTTTTCTTATTTTACTTGGAATATTGTATTTATTACATTCCTCGCAGCTCTGTAGAGCATGAATTTGGCCAAATTTGCAAACTCTTGTAGAGTTTTGTTATTGCTCTGTGAAGAAAGTCTTTATTGAAAATTTATTTTTCATAAGGAAACACTTGGGAAAATATATTTTAGCACTTTATTGCCCTTTGATAGAGTATCCTGCTCTGATTGTATCTTGCAAAATATTATCTTGTGTTTGGAAATCAATCATCGTAGAGCTAATATTGTTTCAAATACCTCTTATGGAAGTATAAAGCGTGTTGTGTCATTTATTTTTCTTGAAATGTACTCAGTGGAACTGACATTAGTCCTCAAGCCTTGTGTAAACTTCATGTGAGCAGTGTTTGCTTCGGCACATCTCACCATCTCGTCACTTCATTGTGCTGCAGGTATTTTGTACATATCAGTGTAAATGTTGCATAAAAAGTTTTCTAGTCCGTTATGTTCATCAGTGAATTGTATATAAGACAATAAATCTGTATTCGACTGTTTTCTTGACTTTGATTTAAAGCCAGCACATTATTTTTTACATTTATTTACAAGTTTTTTTTATATTAAATACATATTTTATATAAGATTTTGTTTTTAAAATAGTTTACTGCAAAAAAATATATAAAATTATTTTCTTTTTTCAGGATTAAAAAGTTCACTTTTGAGATTTTTTGGCCCCCCCTTTAGCCCCTCCTTTGCCTCCTCTTTCACCCTTTTCCCCTTTGTCACTCTTCCCTTTTCCTTCACCAGCTTCTTTCTTGGAGCCTCCCTTTTCACCTGCTTCACCCTTTTTCTTCGCTGATGCGTCCTTTTCGTTTCCTTTCCCTTCTTTGGCACCCTTGGGCTCTTTCTTGCCCTCCTTGCTCTTCTTTTCGCCCTTCTCAGAGTCCACTTTCCCAGACACTGTTGACACTTCCGCAGTTTCTTCGGGTTTTGCAGCTGCAGTAAAACAAGTAAAATAAAAAGGCTAAAGACTTTTTTTTTAGGGGCCGTCAGATATATTTTGTGGAAAGGAGGAGGAGGAGACAGATTAACACAAAAAATGAAGAGTAAAAATTGCTATTTTAAAATTTTAATTATTTTAAAAAGAGTTTTTGCAAAGACTGATTGCCTTCTCAAGCCTTTATGAGAAGATGTCTGCACAATATTCTACCAGAACCTCTCAAACTCAACAGAGTGCTTATGTTCTATACATTATATAATAATATATAATGTGTATATGGTGGCACAGTGGATCAGTTGGTAGAGTTGTTGCAAGAAGTTCACCAGATTGAATCTCAGCTGCAGACCTGTCTGGGTGGAGTTTGCATGCTCTTTCCGTGCATGCATAAGTTTTCACCAGGTACTCCGGGTGTTTTCTCACAGACCAAAAACATGCATGTTAGGCTGATTGGTAACTCTAGAGGGTCTTTGTGTCCCTGTGATGGACTGGAGACCAGTCTGTCCAGGGTGTCTCCTGCCTCTCACACAGTGATGGCTGGATACGGGCACCAGTGAGCCCCATGACCCAGAAAGGAAGAAGCGGGTCTATATATGTAACGTTTTAAACAGTTTAATATCAGATATAACATTGTTATAAGTAACCCTAATTACAGCTTGATTCAAAAACAAACATTCATTTAAAGAATATATTGCCTCCTTACATGTTAAAGCTTTAAACAAAGCTCTTGGGTGACCTGTCAACATTTAAAGAGTACGTTGCAAATGACTCCCAGATACTACCACTCCAACCTGAGAATGAGATATTTTGCTAACAGACAAACAGGGTTGAGTCCAGCAGTTTTAAACAAAGACTTTGTGCCATGTTAGCCCTCTGCGTATGTGGCGTGGATGACTCTCGGCTCCAACCGCATCAGATTTTTAAATTTATTTAAAATTGTTTCGTTTAAAATTGTTCATGGTTGCCAAGATCAGTTAGTTGTGGCGGCCATGTTGAATCGTGTTGATTCCAGAAGTTCATCAGATGTGCAATCAGGGATCACGTTCTTAAAGTTTTAATAAAATCTGTTTGTCGTGAGGTTTATGAGATTTTTTTATTAACAGACAGATGCACAGTTACATTATTACTCGCCTTTTATTTTGGTGAGTTATAAATACGGACTCTTTCTCTTTTGCGGTCATCCTAAGAGTATATGTTGTGAAGAACAGAATCAATACGTTTATCAACCAACCGGTTTTTATTTCACTTTAAGTTTTAAACTTCTTTTAAAACAAAAAAAGAGTTTACTTTAAATTTTGTTTGATTAGTTTTCATTTGAGTTGCATGTACTGATTACTACGTTTCTCTGTCTGTTAGACACAGATCTGTCAGGAATGAGACCTTGTTCAACGTGTAAATAAAAGTTAAATTAAATTAGTCGGGCCATAAAAATAGAGATAACTGCCTCATTCGACTGGCACACATCAAAAACCGTCAGTCATGTAGTTTAAAACAAAAAAACTTAACTAAATTAGCGCCAAACACTAGGATCCAAAACTTTTGTTACTCCGTACAAACTTTTAAAACTGTAAATGCTGTTGACTCTAGTTGGGAATCATTGGAGCAGTCTTTTTACGTGCGCTCTTTTATCAGCTGCAACACTTTTCTCAAACAGAAAAATAAAGGTTCAGATATTAAATGATTAACACGCCCCCAAACACAAAACAACTACCAGGGAAATTAAAAAACAGAACCATGTTTTGCTGCTTTTCTGAAATTTGGGTGATATAAATGAAAAAAATATATATAATAATAATTGTTTTTGTATTTTGAAGACATTATAAAAAAAAGTCCAATTTTTTGCCACACTTTAATTTATGTTATCGTACTTTTCGGACTATTAGGTGCTTTAATTTTCTCAAAAATCAACTCTGCGCCATATGTATTAATTCTGGTTACTTACTGACCTCGAACCGATTTTATGTGGTACACGGCACTCAGAAATCTGTCAAAATGAATTTATTTTGCTTAATGCACCTTATAATCCGGTGTGCCTTATAGTCTGAAAAATACGGTAGTATGCTAATCTGCTGTTTTCCTCATTCTGTCTAACAGCAGTCTGATTAGCAGAAAACATTTGAAGCTGCTAGATAACATCAGGATAACATCTGTTCTTCAGGTGCTAAATTAGGGTGAAAATTCAAATAGAGGTTTAGTTTTATTGCAAAATGACATTTCTATCCAAACAAAACAACAAGTCAACAAATTCCAATTAAACGCCTTCAGATTTATAATTGCGAAACCGAGTTGAACAATAAATTCATTAAGTTCTTCACTCACTGTCAAAAATGTGGTACACCTCAAATTACTGTCCTTCAACAAGAAAGTGTAGCTGATGAATGTATGAGAAAACAATGATTTTAAATTATTTTAACCGCTTGATGAGGCTGAGAATTCCTCCATATTCAGCTGCCTAAACGTGCAGTTTGGAAGCGGCCTATAAAAATAAATGAAGGTGAAAAACAAATGAGACGCACTCAGTTAGTTTTATGATTCCTGTCATTAAGTTTTATTCAATATGGAGCTGGTGAGAGGGTGAAGAACGTCAGAGACTGAGCCTGTGTGTCTTCCAGTTTTCCTCTGTCTATATTTGTACGATATGCTGGCTCGGAAACCAGAGCGGCTCGTTATTTTTCCTGCTTCACTGTTCGGACCCCGGATAGTTTTCACAGTTTGACATGTTTGAATATTTAATATGGATTTTAATATTTTATTGTCACAACTAGAAGATGTTAAAAACAAACTCGGGTCAGTTCAAAGTTGGTTGTTACTTCACAACATGTTTGTGTCTGTGACTGAGCCACAGTGTCGTGTCTTATCGAGTCTCTGCTGCATTGAATAATATATTCATACACGCCTTACGACGCCTAGACGTATTTCTCTTTTTTTTTTTTTTTTATTCAACGTATCATTTCAAGTTTTGAGCTCAACTGATCAAGTTTTCTGTCATGCATAAGCAAAAATATATATAAATGAGAAGAAAAAAAAGTGTTTAGAGTTCTTGGTGTAGTAATCCTTTTAAACGTGTCAGTTACAGTCGTTATTAAGTTTATAGTTCAATATACTAATGAATATTTACTCATATTCACTACTCTTCAGATTACGCTTGAGACTTAAGCAAAGTTAAGCTTCCAGTCAAATGCAAATCGTATTTGAGTCATTTATTAAATTAAAAAAAAAATCATATCCACAGTTCAGTTTGTAATAATCATTAATTCACAGATATCAAGGGAATATGAAAATATGTAAATATAAGTGCTGAATGTTGTCACTCCATTTTTATGTCTGTTTAAATGAAATCATCTCCTAAGACTAAGTATGTCATACGAACAGGAGACAAAGTGACCAAATCACTGTTGAGACAAACGTGTATTTTCATCATCGTGCATCATCTGTGCTCTACTTAAAGAAGGAGATTTAGACATTATACTCTGTTTTTTAATGACTGTGATTGCGATCGATAAACAGTCCCATGTAATTATTCTTACTGTGACCAGTCAGTGAGGAACAGAAAGAACTGGTTGTATTTGTGACATCCTCAAGGGATGATTGATACTGATATGATAGAGTTGATATGATGTGGTGACGCGTCTCAGGTTTGACTCAGATCCACTGCTTCGTGTCTGCAGCGGACCCTTGGATGACAGCTCAGACATGGAGGGGAGGGGCTGGGGGGCTTGGACAGGAAGATGATTCTATAAAACTAACTTGTCCGGTCCAGAGAGTTAGAGCAGGTCAGAGTTTCACAAGGATGAGAGCACTGATAACAGTGTAATCTTGTAATTGCATGTTCTGTGAATTGTTGGACCTCTCTCCAAAGCTTTATAAATAAATCTCATGAACTACACCTTGGTTTGTTCTGTGACTCTCCTTCTTTCTTTTTTTTTCACGACAGTCACTTTTTTCTAAGCTAATCTTAAAGACCAGAAGGGAAGAGACCGGAGCAAACAGGCAGAGAAAATAGGATATGCAAACATTTAATAAGAGTTGTGTTGCATGCCCAACTTTTTGTTGTTTGTTATCGTAATAATACGTTTCTGGCTCATAAATTTTAAGTTCCATCTCAGTTGATTGTTTCATGCAAATATGCACAAGAAGAAAGAAAAAAATTTCAATGTATGGCAGCAAAAAAAACCCCACAAAAATACAAAAGTGAAACAGTGAGGCTGCCACAATACTTAAAAAAAGCATCACCATAGGTATTTACACTGAAACCATCAGTTTCTAATACAAATAATCTACAAAGTCTGGAGATTTTTACATGTGCCATTTTACCAGCTAAACTTTTTACGCAATGAAGAAGAAAAATAATTTCCCCTTTGAAACTCGTCTCCATATGTATTTCTGTAAAGAAGAGACGATGGAGCTTTTAGAATAAAGCACACGTGATAAATGAATCAAAAGGTGCTTTTAAAGACGATGCCTATGTTTTGTGATGCCGTTGAGCAAAAGAGGAGTGTCGAAAGGCAGACGAGCAGAAGGACAAGAAAACAATCATTCCGTCTCTGGCAAAGAGATGGAGCTGGGGTGCTCCTCGCTGACCCTAACCGACTGAAGGCTGCTGTTCTGAGTCTGGACCTGCTCAGACACTGTCTGCACTGCAGAGGCATCTGTGGTCACTGGAAGAAGAGAAGGAAGAGAAGAAACAGGAAAAGAAGAGAGAAAAGGTGGGAAATTATAGCAACAGAGCATAAAGACCGTGGAAAAAGTGTTGCAAGGTTTTTAAAGAGGAAAACGAGAGATGGTGAAATATGAAGCAGTCCTGAGAGTAATATGTCATCTTGCAGGTTTTTTTTTTAATCTCCCTCACCAAATGTGTTTACACAAGTGATGAGTTTAAGGAAAGATAACCTTAGAAAGACAGAAAAGTCAAATCCAGCAATTATTTACTTTCCCCAAGTGGAACAACCTTCTGTTGAAGTTTAAGGAGAAGTGCACAAGCAAGTCCAGAGTTACAGCCGTTACTTTAGTTTTCACTAATCCAGTTTAAATGTATTCATATTTAAACTGAGAAGAGACAGAAACTCACATCCTGGGACCTCAGTCAGCTCGTTCAGGGGTGGCACGGTCTCCAATGTGTTGGCGTATTTTTTGGCAGCCTGTCTTTGTGCGTGTCGTGCCTCGATTTCCTTTTTTGTTCTCGGGATTCGGCATTTGAAAATACAACACAGAGTGATAACTGAGAGAGAGAGGGGGACACAAACATGAACATGATGAGAAAAAATGCTAGTAAAGTGCAACAACTTGTGTATTTTAATAGTCAGGTGTTCACAACACATTTAAACACAGTCAGAATATGTGTTGTTGTAATTGTTTACAGCTGGTACCAAAATAAAATGCCTTTTTAACCACTCTGTATTGTTATTTTGAAATGTATTCAAGTTTTCCAAGTAACTTTGATCCTGAATTGTTCAAAGTTTTGGTGCCAAATGATAAATGAGAACACTTAGCTCCTGGTTAGTCACTTTTAGGGTCTGCAAAGTACTTCACAATTGATCTCATTCACTTATTCATACAGTGCAGTAGTCCCTCGCTACTTAACGGTTCGTTTTTCGCAGCCTCGCTCTATCGCGGTTTTTCAAAGTAAGATTGGACATGACACACAATGGGCCGATTGATGGATGAGCTGCGTGATCGGCATGAATTTTTTTTTTTTTTATAAATTATTTTAAATGATTTAGCACCTGTGTGCAGCCCACGGCTGTGAGAGAAGCTTCCTCCTGCAGCTGATCAGCTGATCTCCATGCAGAGCGGAGAAGTGGGCGTGGCCGAGAGTGCAGCTGGAGGCAGAAAGCTGAAATCTTGACATTCTGAGCTCTTTTAGAGCGTTTAAAGTTTAGAAACATTCTTTTGAATATTGCAAGAGTGTGGGAAGGGTTTAAAATGCCTTAATATATATAAATACTAAAATAAATTACTACTTACTACTTGTACTACTATTCCTACTTTGCGGTTTTTCACTTATCGCGGGTCTTCAGGGTACGGGTCCCCTGCGATAAACGAAGGACTTTTTTTATCTGATTTAGACGTTACTATGATTATATGAGCAACACTTTAATATATCATAAGGGTGGGGGGTTGAGAGGAGTTTAACCCTCTAATTTCCAACTTGAAAGATGCACCCCACCACAACCACTGCACCAAAGCCTCCTCCAATTCTTATCCCACATCATTATAAGCAGGGCCTAAAGACCAAACTAAATATTAAATAAATACTTAAAACATTTTCAAGATGAAAATGTGAAGAATTTAGACGTAAAGTGCAGACTGCTTTTGCAAAAAGTATTTTTTTACATTATTTTGCTGACAACGATATATATATATATATATATATATATATATATATATTTTTTTTTTTTTTTTTTGTTTTTTGTTTTTTTAACTGTCATTACAAACTCTTTGAAAAACATAATGACGACATAACAGAAGAGGTTTTATCCTGTAGTTACTTTTTTTAAATCATTGCTGTCTGTTTTTTTTATTTTTTTAAATGTGAGGTGTACTGACCAATGGCCAGCACAAACATGGAAAAAATGCCGATGACCTGCCACAACCGCAACCCCCAGAAGACTACGGTCTCTGACGTGACGGGGTCCGGCTTTTTGGGTGGATCTGTGGGTAAAAGCTGTTAGATAAAAAAAAAAAAAAGAGGAGAAAATTAATATTTACAGCTGTTGCTTCATATAAAACCATTAAAATGCTCGGTAATATTTCACAGTTTAGACAAAGTGTTTTAATTAAGCTATTGTAGTGTATTGTACAAAATCAAACCTGTTGTTATTATCAATCATATTTGACTGATGGAATATTTTAAAAAGTCTGAACACGTAAAAAAATCAGAGAGCCCAAAAATGTGGTTAGACAGGAAATAGTAATGTCTTCTTGCATTACTTAAGCTTATCTTTTATTCCAGGAATGTCAAGATCAGCCTACTGATATCATTTGAAAACACGATTTCATAAAACCTGTTTAAAGTTTCTGTTTTCAACCCATTATGCCGTATCGTACGAGTTGGGACGTCTCCTGCACGATCCCACTGAGCTGGTGAAGATTCATCAAATTATATAAAAATAACACCTTTCTGTACAGTATGAGATTCTATTAGAGCAAAGACCTGGCTCCTGCTACCAAAACCAGCAGATATTGTTTTCTCATGATAAAATCATCAGTGGGATTATTTTTGCCTGCTGTCTATTGATCACTTGATTGGATAACACAGGCTTGTTGTGGAAACTCTATACTTTAATCCAAGAAGCAAAAGATCTAAAAGAGGACATTATGTGATGCAAAATAAGGGGGGAAAGGTAGACGAGGAGTTAAGACAGAAATATTGTAAACACCAAGCATTGCCAATTAAAAAAAATAACTAAAAATGTAAATATCTTTTTTAACCTTATTTGTTTGGTTTGATCGTCCAAACACTGATGAAGAAAGTTGCATAGGTCATGATTTATGAGTCTTTTCTGGTGTAAATAATGAATCCAAATGTTTGCCATGTTTATCAGCTTACTGATATATTGAGCTAACATTTCCAATTTATATATTGTTTTGGGGCAGCACGGTGGCGCAACTGGTAGAGCTGCTGCCTCTCAGCGAGCAGGTCCCTGGTTCAAATCCCGGTCCGGGGGCCTTTCTGGGTGGAGTTTGCATGTTCTCTCCGTGCATGCGTGGGTTTTCTCCGGGTACTCCGGTTTCCTCCACAGACCAAAAACATGCATGTTAGGCTGATTGGTAACTCTAAATTGTCCCTAGGTGTGAGTGAGAGAGTGAATGGTTGTTTGTCTCGTTTGTCTCTATGTGTCCCTGTGATGGACTTGAGACCCGTCCAGGGTGTACCCCGCCCCTCGCACAGTGATTGCTGGACATGGGCACCAGTGACCCCCGTGACCCAAAATGGAATAAACGGGTAAAGAAAATGGATGGATGGATGGATATTGTTTTGGTTTAAAATAAATAAATTAGGCCAAAAACCTAAACATTATATTCATTAAGCTTCTTTTGTTAAGAGCTTATGTTTCAGTTCTTCATGTTTTGAAAGCTGTGAAGGTAGAAGAATAGATGGAGGAAAGACATCAAAGTTCATGCTCAGTCATCCAGGTACAAAATCCAATAATGGTCGGTCAGGACAGTTTCTTTTTTTGTTGTGAAAATATGTTTCGCCCTCTATCCGGAGGGCTTCATCAGTCTGAGAAGTGTCAAGTAAACTGTTTTTCCCACCAAGCAGTGCACTCATTTAGTGGACCAACCAGTTTGCTGGTGATGAGATGGTTTCTGAAAAGAAACTGTCCAGATGACCTGATTGAAAATTGTTGGATTGTATACCTGGATTATTGAGCATGGACTTTGTTGTGTCTGGGGGCTGACCTCCTCAGACTGAAGAAGCCCTCTGAATAGAGAGCAAAATGTATTTCCACAAAAAAGAAACTGTCCAGATGACCTGATTGACCATTATTGGATTTTGTACCTGGATGATTGCGCATGAACTTTGATGTCTTGAACCACTTTGACTGTGGCTACCTGCCTGGGACGAGTCGACAGGGGACAGGACAGCCCCTAGACACCATCTTATAACAAGCAAACTGGTTGGTCCACTAAACCCTCCGGATAGAGGGTGAAACGTCTTTTCATAAAAAGAAACTGTCCAGATGACCTGACTGACCACTATTGGACATGGAGGAAAAGTTTCTTCAGAAGTTTCTTGCATTTTTTTTTCTAACAGAAAAAGACACTTTGCTGCACATCAGAGTTTAGTGAACTTGGATACCCACTTTGCAAACAAGCTTAAGTTTGCATAAATCACCATAGAAACAATGTTTTTTTTATTAAATATCAAATTTTCCCAATCAGCATGATGTTTTAGTTCATAAGAGATTAAATTATTTCAAATGTGACATTTTACTTGTAGCTATGAGTTTAAGACGTTAAAAGATTTTTTTTTTTTGTCAAATGTTTGACCTTGTTTTTGTATATAAAGTTCTGTATAAACTGACAGAAACTAAATAAATGAGTAGAAGTCCACTTTTCGGAAATCTAACTCTTTTGTATTCAAACCAAGAGGAAAACAGCTGCTAAATATAGAGACGAGTCACATTTGTATTTCTTTGTCAGCCCACATGCATCAGGTTTTAACACAAATCCACACAGACCTGTAAGACGAGGAACCAATCGTATGACATAAATGACATTCATGCAGGCTATGTTTAGACAGCAACACCCTACGCCTGTCCAAAAAGACCTTCGAGATGTTTCTGCGGAGGACATGGCACACCATCGGGCTCTTACCTCTGGATCCGGGATCTGGGAGAACACGAAGGACCAGCACTGAGACAGAAGCACTGTTCCCCAGCCCCGCAGAAGGAGCTGAGGGGGGCACACAGGCTGTTCCCCAACCATTCTCTCCCCTTCTTTCTTCCCGAAGCCACCCTGCCCCGTCTTCTTTTCTTCCTCCTGATGTTTCGTCTTCCTCTCTCTGTCTGCCCGCCTGCACTGGCGCCGTTCACAGGACAGGACCACAATGGCCCCTAAAGTTGATTAATAGTGGATATGCTGCTGAAGAGCACCCACAGCTGTCTGTTTCTCTGCTCCTGTATCTGTTGCGTTTCTACCAAAAACACTACAGGAATCGGGGAAAAGGCATAAGCATTTACCATTGCAGCCAGCTCAGAACTGCTCCTGTACAATGGGGGGAGCCAGCCCTGCAGTTAGGTTAGGGAACATTAATTAATTAGCAGAGCTGGTGTGGTTTACAGCCAGCTCATCCACCAGTGGACAGGCAGTTAACTAAGACAGGGGGATGGGCGGTGCAGCTAACCACGATGAGGCTGGCCTGTGCAGGGATAGTGAAGAAAATAGCTGTAGCTCATCCTTTTTATTACCTCAGCAGCCTGTCTTGTAAAAAAAATCCTCATAGCCTTGAACTTTCAGAGTGGCAGAATTTGATAAGAGAAGCTGCTGCTGAGTTCGGTGTTTCCAACAGGAGTTAAACAAGGACTGAATACACTTGGGAAAGTATTCAAGTTTCTTTCTTTATTTCTTCTTTATTTTATTTATTTATTTATTTATTTTTATGAAACATATTAGTGAAAAGAAAATGTTTAGGTTCATTTGTGAATTTCTTTGTGTGGAGACAGGCATGGAAAGAACCAAAGTAAATAAGATTTCCCCAAAGGGCTAATAATACAATACAATATTGTATCATATTGTATTGTATTATATTGTACTGTATCAAGTTGCAAAAATATATGTTGTTTTATTTTAAGACATCCTATTGTATCATTTTGTGCCATAACATACTGTATAACATTACATCATATTGTGTTAGGTCATACATAATATATCAAATTGGACATAATTGTATTGAACTTAACTGTATTGTAACCCCCCCTCCCCCTCCCCCCCCACATAGTTTATCATATCTTGAATTGTATCGTAAAGTATTTTCTCACATTATATTGCATCACATTGTATTGCACTGTCTTGTATTGTCACATATATTATCATTGGTAGAATCATATTGTATCATATTACATATATCATTACATAATATCATATCACGTTGTAATGTATAGTTTTATGACATATTTAGTTTAGTTTAGTCTAATTTCAACTATGTATAAGAACGAAACACAAAATAAAGTGCTGTAACAAAAATTAACAAGATGAAACATCTGAAAAGGGAGTGGGACGAACTCCAAGCATTAATCTCATCCTTCTCTAAAACTTACTAATGGTAAGTTCTTCTGTTTCATTTTACATTTTGAGTTCAATAATGACTTAAGCAATTATCAATTAATTTAGTTTTTCTATATAAATTATATGGCTGAGGTGGTTTGGTGGTCAGTGCCATGGTCTTGTAATCCTGAAGTTGCGAGTTCAAGCCCAGGTTTCGTCAGGAAGGGCATAGGGGTCGAGATGGAGTAGAGGCAGGGCAGCTGACTCAGGACCCCGAAGTCCCGGGCTCAATCCCCAGTCATATATCTGGTGGTGTCTCTGAGCAGGACACCTCATCCCCGGGCCCAACAGCTGCCCACTGCTCCACCTGGTGGTGGGTGGGTTAAATGCAAAGAGCCAATTTCTCCATCGTATGGCAACATACAGTGATGACCCATTTATTTTTATTTATCTGGCATAAAACAAATTGACAAATCTTTCATGCAAGTTCGCTGGCTGTGGTGACTCCTGAGGAGGGAGCAGCCGAAAGAAACTTCCATCCATCCATCCATCCATCCATCCATCCATCCATTATCTTTTACCTGCTTCTTCCATTTTTTGGGGTCCATGTCCAGCAATCAACGTGCGAGGGGCGGGGTACACCCTGGACAGGTCACAAGTCCATTGCAGGGCCCGAAAGAAACTTACTTATTCTCTATAAATCATGTTACAAAAATTATAAAATAAATTATCATTGAAATATTACTTGTCTAGAAACAAACGTTTTTTTTTTGTTGTTGTTTTGACCTTTTATTTTTTCTTACATTTTTTAAACTTTTAGCCCATCACTATATGTTCACCTACATCTTCTTACATACTGTAAATACACAAATCTATACAAAATTATGTATAAGTATACACAAACATACATATATGCACATGTATAGATATACACATGAATACATGCATGCGTATTTGTATATATGGGTATATATTAAAACCAGAAAATGCACAGTATATGTAAAACCCTAACATTCAAATATTATTTTTAGTTTCAGTCAAATCTATAAATCTATTATTTATTTTGTTACAGGTGATGCTAAAAATGCAGCTGTGTTAGTAGTTCCTATACAACAAATAAAACTGATGCTGCTGTTTCTGAAAATGTCCAAATCATTAGAAAACGTAAAAATTCAAAACCAAACCACAGAGCAGAACTAAATTATAAGAAACATCAGCATGGAATATTTTATTAAATTACTGGTTAGAGTTTTCTTATGAGTTTTAGACAGAACCTTACCTGCAGTAGATGTCAGTCAGAACAAACTCAGTCTGAAGAATCAGTGAACATTTTTCACGAAAGGAGTCAGATTAATAGCTATTCAGACTGGACCTATTCCAGAGTGGATTTTAGTTATCTAAAACACATAAGATCAAAAAAATGTACAAAGGTACAAGTAAATTGTGACTTATAGACAATGGTGACATACAAATCTGTCTGTAGATGGAAGGCAGGGGACTGCAAAAGGCCACATCTTACAATTTATGTCATTGTTATATTCATCAACAACGTTCAGTGACCTTTTCTTACCCATAGAAGGACGGGGGCAGTGTCATTGTCGAAAAGACCAATTCCATCAGAAAAGATGGGGTTTATGACAGGACAAAGGTGATGACTCATATTTGCAGAGGCCCTTCCTGCTTAGGGGCCAAGATGATCCATATCATATAAGCAAAGTTCCTCACTGAGAAAGATTAAGCTGCCAGATTATCTCACTGTAAAGGCTAAAGGTTTGGGTTCTGATTATCCTTCTATCTGCTACTTATCCATGGTCAGGTCCTACAGGAAAATTCCAACAACCCTCTCTCCAGCTCCTCTTGAGGGATCCCTATGAGTTCCCTGGCCTTATTATATCTCCAGTAAGATTTTGGTCTGCACATGGGTTTCCTCACAGTGGTATATGCTTGGAAAACCCATAAAAGGAGGCGTCCAGAGGCTATTCAGATCCCCTAACTCAAAACATCGAGCCTAGCACAGAGCCTATGCTATATGTGAAGGTGCAACCAACTATACATGTATATTGGTATCGCTCAACCTGACACACAAGCTCCGGCTCCTTACATGCAAGAGAAGTCACATTCCAATAATCTGTACTGCCAGGAGTTGGCATGGCCATATGCTGCCTTCATCTCGGCTCAGTCTGCACCAGATCTCAGTGACACTTCTTACAGTTGGTGTGCCCATTTGGAAGATTTTAATTCTTTTATCCCCTAGCTAAATATTTACCTAAAATGCAAATGTGAGCAGTGTCACTTTTCATCGGTTGGTTTCGACTCCACCAAACCCTAAGAGGAAACGTGTGCTGTATTGTAGCTTGGCGTTCAGCTGCAGTGTGTACAGCAAGTCTCCTGTTGGGTCTGTTTGGCATTTGCTGCTAAGACCGCATTGAGTGGCTGATGCATCGTTTTTACTATAAACTGCTGCCCAAAATTATTCTTAAAAGAAGAGATATGAAAACAAATGTTAAAACCTCATAGGCATACAAACTGTTTGTTTTTTCTGTGTATTTTTATATATAATATCATATAAATTAGGGATGCACGATATTATCTGCATGATATTGGTATCAGCCAATATTAGCGTTAAAGTTCAATATCGGACATCGTCCATTCCATTAAAATAACTCGCCGATATAAAAGGCGCTGTTTTGCCTGCAGCGGCAGCACAACGCGATACTGTCACGTGCACCTACCTGATCTCACGGCGGACAGGAAAATTCAAAATGCCGTCTGTGTGGAAGTTTTATTTTTTTGTTGGTGAGAATGTCATATTCCAAAGATTTATGGACTATGTTGAGCCTCGCTACATTGTCCGCAGTCTGAGATATTTTTCTGACGTAACGTTACCCGAGTTACAAGCCGACATTTCCAACGTCATTGAGAAGCTAATAGCCGATAGCACAACTTGTTGGATGAGTTTTACCACAGACATTAGGACGTTGTGTTAGCCCCGTTAGCATGTTTAGTCTTACGGCACAATGAATAGACAAAAACTTTGAACTTAAAAAGGCTGTCCTTCATGCACAGGAGTGCAGAGGATCCCACACTGCAGCGAGGAACTTGGAACAAGCCTCCACAAGTGAGACAGCATCGCAGGTGACTAATGCTAATAAATAATAGGTAACACTTTTCATTTAATATAAGTTAAAGTGCTATGCATATCATATGGTTGTTACTGAATATATGTCACCAGCTCTTACAGCTGCTGCACAATTTTTGTAGCAAATAAGCCTAAATAAGAGGGCTATGTTCTGACAAAGGAACATATATAAAATATCTGTATCGGCCAAATAAGTTTAACATATCGGCCAAAAATCCAATATTCTGCATCCCTAATATAAATGTGTGTACTGTAATAGGGGAAGAAAAAGTAATAACTCTCACCAAGCTAATGAGAAATTAGCATCTTATTATAAAAGCATCTGATGTCTAAATGTTTAATTCATCCCCTTCCCCTGTGCACCTTCCCATCCCTTAAAAATTGCTTTTATTTCTGCATTGATCAAAGTGTTAGAACAAATAATTATTGCTCACTCTCAAAAACAAAAGGTGGATCAATAACGGTCTTGTCCTTGTCTGTGTGTTATTGTGTTCGTTCAGCAAAATATCTCATGAATCACTGAACAGATTTCAACGACGCCCTCTCAAAGAAAATCACCAGTTCGACATCTACAACTGATTTACTTTGAAGAAAAAATAAAAATAAAAAACTAAAGAAGCAGATTTCCACTAAGGGGCTGGACAGTAGATAAAATACAGAGCACTGAAGTATTAATTAGTTGATATG